TTGCCATACTTGCCTCGGCTTTCCGCGAGCAAGCTGTCGAAACTATCAAGGAACTTGCCCCTAGATGTTGGGGGAAATTGGGCTCGTCCTCTGCTTTTTTGCGGGGTTTTGCTGAGTGACAACCAGCCATGTTGACCAAACCTGGCAGCAGTCATGCTCAGAAACTTCTCCTGTGCCTACCGTTTCAGGCATCACACATGAGCCAACCTCCAGGCCCCCTTTCTCTATCCGACGTCAAAGGGGCCACACGACAAGCAGCGCGCGCGCGCGCGCCCCTTTTTCCTTCCTGGGCTTCCTTTTTTAAACTTCTCTTTTGTGGCCAACCAAAAGGGAGTTCCTCCCTGGGCTTCTTTTTAGGTCCTCCAGTAGAGAGGTTAGAATAAGGGTGCCCTTTTTCTGTAGTCTATTTTAGTAGGGGAACCCTCCCCAAAAAAGGGGTGAGAAAGGGCACTACTGGGGCATCCTACCTCTCCATCCCGTACCCCCAGTGAACATCCCAACCCCCACTACAATGGGTATGGGTGGCGAATTCACCCACCGCAAAATGGAATCCCATTGGTTTTGACCCATACCCACCTGGGCTTCCAATTTTATGCCACTCAGTGGCCCCTTAGAGACCTGGAAATACAAAAGGTGATCACCTTTTGGGACGGGAAAAAAAGGTCGATTCGCTTTTGGGCAGAGGCCAACTAAGACTAGACCCTCCAGTAGAGCGGTTAGAATAAGTTGGTACCAACTTTGATCTCTGATCTATTTTAGTCTATTAGTAGGGGCTTGCCCTCCCAAAAAAGGGGTGAGAAAGGGGAACCCTCCCCAAAAAAGGGCCGGGGGACCTAGGCCAACCAAAAGCTCACTTGCCCAAAGGACCTGGAAATAAAAGGTTAACCTTTTGGGGTCATGACTAAAAATAGACCAAACCCAGAAAACCAAAAGGTCAAAAGGTCGATTCGCTTTGGGCAAGTGAGAAAGGGCTTAAAGGGGTGAGAAAGGGCACCAATTGCTGGGGGACCGAGAATCGGGAATCGAATTTCTCTGGCCATCGACACCTTTTCTCTAGGCAAAGGGCGGCCCGCGAAGCCCCGGAAGTCCAGAAGCGCCTCAAACGCTCTGCCCGATATCCCAAACCTCACTTGGCAAGTGGCCAGCCAAAATATATATATATATATATATTTTTTGGTGTTGTCTTTTTCTTAATATATCTTTGTTGAAGGGATCCTTACATTGCAACTTGTTTCCTGGTGGCTTCCCTTTGTTACCGGTGTTGAAAAAGCAACATGTTTCAAATGGTTGCAACATGTATTTTTTAAGGAGCCCTGAAAAAATGTGCACTTTTTGGGCCACCACTCGTAAAAAAGGAGAGCCACCAAGGAAAAAAGTGTAAAGTGTGTCCACTGGCTGGGTGAGAAAATCGGGGGCTTAGAAGAAGACAACTGCAATTTTGGGGTTGGGGGGGGGAGTGTCCTCTTCTTATGGGCGCCGGCCGGGAAACCTCGACGTTGGTGTGAGGTCCGTATTTCTGAGGGCACTGCATCTAAGTAGAGCAAAACGGGCTACATAGCCGGGTTGTTGTTTTTTCTTCTGGGGAAGGCCGTGGAAACCATCCAAGATCCCACACCCCGAAGCCACGAGCCATGCATCTTCTTCGGCACAGGGCGAGACTGTGGGCTTTGGTCTTGCTCGGGAATGACCCGCTTGGATCCCGCTTAGAGCAAACCAGAAAGGATTGCTTATAGGGGACACCATGTGAGTTTATTGCTCGGAAATGCCCCTAAACATCATGGCTGCCTCGGATGCTGACTTGGGCCCTTGTCCATGTGACCTTTTGAGTCCGGCCGGCGGGCCGTCTAGAGGGATTGCATGAGAGGCTGGTGCGCTGGCAAAAGTGCTCCCCGCCCGCCCCAAACACCCAAAGCCTTGAGAAGCCGCACATGTCTAAAACCACGGAGGCAGGTGGGGGGCGGGTATTTGCCGAGCAGTGGGGGCAGTTTCTGACACTTCCAAACCCGAGCTAGATGTGTTTGGTGAATCTGGGCAGACGGCGGCAATGCGGCAACTTCGCTTGGGCCACCTCGAGTCTCTCGCAAACCATTGGAGCCCATCAAATTGCAAGGGGGGAAATCCAGTGACACCGGCACCGCGTGAATTGTTGAAATGGGGCTGTGGGGGTACTTGGCCCCAGCCAGGGCCGACAAAGCCTTTCTCCGTCCGTTTTCCCCGACCTGTTTGAGAGACAACCATAGGCAGAACTCGCATGGTGTGACAAACCGCAATGGCTCACAAAACGGGCTGTAACACATAGGTTCCAGATTGCACCAAGGGACATTTGTGGGAACCCTTTTCTCAGGACAAACTCACTCTTGGTTCCACCAGCACCGTACCTCTCACCCCTTTTAAGTTAGGCATAAACCCTCGAAGCTCCAAATACGGTCCTTGCCATAAATCCCACATAGCCCCCGAATGCTTCCTTCAAGGAATTCCCTGGCTTCATTACCATTCAAAACCTCTCGGTTTCCACCAAAAAGTTGAAGTCTAAAGATCCAACCCAATAGCAGCCAAGACCCCCCCAAAAAAAAAAGAAAAGAAGAAACTCCTTTCAGGTGCCTTCGCTTCTTCGCTGGCCAAAACCGATGGCCAAACACCACATCGAGACGGGGTTCCCCCCGTCTCACCGAAGGCCCGCCTGAAAGCCCCGCCATGCCGCGGAGCTGCGCCCGCTGAAGGGCGTCTCCGGCGCCGCCTGGGGCTCCCCACGCCCGCGCCCCGAGCCGCGAGCCGCTCGGGCCGGAAGCGCCCGCGATCCGGGCCGGAAACGTTTTTCAGTGGCATGGGCAAAAAATAACACGCCCGCCGGAAAGAGCCGTTTGTGGCCAACCAAAAGGGGGTTCCTACCTGGGCTTCTTTTAAGGTCCTCCAGTAGAGAGGTTAGAACAAGGGTAAGCCCTGTTTCTGTAGTCTATTTTAGTAGGGGAACCCTCCCCAAAAAAAGGGTGAGAAAGGGCACGACTGGGGGACCTAGTGCAGGGCTTGGTACAGAGGAAATATATGCGGGATCCCGTCTGATAATTCCGCCCATGATATGGGATACCAGCTGAGAACACCCGCAAGCCTCCCGTCAGGATTCCTTTGATACGGGGTCCAGAGTATGCTGCAAATGCATGTTGGAGGGTCCTTGAAACCATGTAAACTACGATGGACGAAATCCGTTTCGCACCACCTAGGAAGCCCTGAGATGATGAACTCACTGTAAATACCAACAAACAATGGCTGCCCATGGCTTCAAAGTTCCACCATCTAAAATTCAACCCACCATCCCTTGAACCGAGATCATTACCCTCCCACCAACTAACATGGAAGTGCAAAAGCCCCAAATTCAACCCAAGCTTCGCGAGGGCCCGAAGTCGCCCAAACCCGAAATGCAAAATACCCATGAACGAAGCATTCTCAACCAGGCCACGGGTTCCCCAACAGACTTAGGTACCCACTTGTCACTTGTCAGGGTGGGCAAAAAGGGGGAGAGAAAAAGATGCAAGACGCGGGTCAAGAGCTGCAGGAGGGAAAACGAGCGGCTCCATGTGAACCAAAGCAAGAAGCCGGCAGCAGTGCCACGCGCCCTCCATTGCACCCCTGAGGCTACGGCATCAGTCGCCTGCAAAGCCGTCCAGGAAAAAGCAGTGCTCAAAACTAGAATAAGGGTACCCGATTTTTTCCTGTAGTCTAGTTTAGTAGGGGCTTGCCCTCCCTCCCCCAAAAAAGGGCTGAGAAAGGGCACCAATTGCTGGGGGACCTAGCAGAACCGCATTTGACCCCCCCGGCCCTCCAGGATCTCTACTTGCCATCGCTTCATGGCCTGGCGCCGCTGTTTCTTGGCCGGCAAAGGAGACCAAAAAAAGTTGGGCCACTCCATCGGTTTCAGGTCCAAACCCAAGAAAAAATGAGACTTTCAGGTGGCCAAAGGCCCAAGCTCGATCGGAAGCCCTGACAGGAACGTGCATCTGGCTACACGCCGGAACTCCAATCCCGGGAACGCCTTGAAGCAGGCATGAAACATGAAGTGTCCAGTTGGCTCAGAAAACCGGAATTCCAAAATGGGTTGCCCTGGTAAGTGGAAACATGGACCAAAACCTGCGGTTTGCCCCCCCTGTTTCATTTTGAGCCACAGCCACTTGGTGTCCCGTTAAACTTAAAAGCCATCCCGGCATCCCAAAACCAAAACGGGCATCTTGTTATGAGACAAGCAACCACATTTGACCTATCACGACTCATGGTTGGCACCATGCTGCCACAGGTCGGTTCACATGCCTCATGGTTTTCCCAACTCTGCCCAGAAGTGTTCCAACGTTTGTCAAGGAGGACATGACTGGGTGCGTAACAAAGGCGTCTTGAATGTCTATAGAAAACATTGTTTCAAAGCACACAATCAAATTCCTTGTGGTTTCCTTTTGTTGACATCGACAGATCATTTTGTTCGACGGAAGAACCTACCCTCCACTTGGCCAACTCAACAATTAATCTTGGCGTTCAGAGCCGTTGGGCGATAGGACTACTCCGAGGGAGCCCTCGTTTTGTTCAAAGCTCCCCACAGGAGAATAACAGAAAGGGCCTAAAGAATGAGAATGGGGTTGTGGGATACTTTAACGCACGGCAACACAGTTGCTCCAAACTGTTTGTTTACCACTGCAATGGTGACCAAACCCCAACAGTGACTAAAGTCCGAAACGGAACTCAGGGAGTGAGTTCAGCAGGTGGTCCTGATTTACACCCTTCCGTATCGCCCGGGTTCCCAAAAGGCCACGACGCCTGTTTGATCGGGATGCTCCAATTCCCCCTCCCCCCCCAGTACGGACGTTTGGCAAAGCCACGCGATTCGAAAAGGCCGTGTAAGGAACAGGCGCCGACAACACGCCTGGCATGCTCACGGAAAAAAATATCACCGTAAAAGGGGCGATCTCACTTCCTGAATGGATTTGTGAGACACAGTTTCCGGACTTTATGTGTACCACTCAACTACCATGTCCTCGCAGAACTTCTTGCAGCTCCGCGTCCGGCTCCCTCTTGGGCAAACTTGGACCCCGCGCTCCGAGTCCGGCTCCCTTCCAACCACCAGCAAGCAAATTGGCCTTGCTTGCTAAGGATCTGTCTTGTTTTGAGGGAAGCTCCTTCTTGAAGTTGGCTTCATAGAAGAAGCATCAAAACAATTATATACAGGATCACCAAACTTCCTTCTTCGGGGCGGCGCCACCCAAAAAAAAGACGACACACCCAGCAACCCGTGAACTGAGAACTAGGCCATTTCCGTCCCAACTGACCCGCCTCCGGAGCTTCGCCCTTGGGCCTGGCGTCTGGCCCCACCATGCCACCCCGGTCTTGAACAAAGAAGAGCACGCCCCGAGAAGAAAAGAAAAAGAAAAGCAGAGGCGGGAGAACCAAAAACAAAAAAGCAAGTCGACCACTCGCGGCTTCGAAGCTGAGGCTTTTCCAAGGACCCGGTTCTTTCCTTCCTGAGTTGGACCAACCAAAAGTCCGGACGTTTACCACCGGACTGGTCGTCCCACGTCTTGGTGGCATTTGACCGCTCTGCGAAAAGTTGACCACTCTTGGTGGGTTCAATTCGGAAAACCCGCGATTTCAACCTAAAAAGTTAAAGCCCAAAGATCCAAACCACTAGCACTCAAGGAACGGTCGCCCCAACAATTTTTCATAAAGTCCCGCAATAGGTGGTGGTATGCAGTAGCGCAATGCTACTCGGACAGTACAAGGCTTGGCCCTCCAAGTTGGGGCGGTCCAAATCTGAGGCACCCACCGACTAAAACCAGCGTCCCAATCAAAAAAAGTCCGGAGGTCTCGTTTACCACTAGACTCAATAGACTGGTCGCCCGAGAAGGTTGCTTATAAAGTCGCACCCATCTGCGGCCCCCCAGCAACGTTGAGAAAACTTCAATTTGATTTTTTAGCCCCTGGAAAAAATGAGCAAATGTGACATAGTGATAAGTTCCCTTTAAAACCAAGGGGAACTGAACACATATTCATTTCAGCAAATGGAAGAAGAGCACTCTTTTGGCTAGTGATTTTACAAGGGGACCAGGTCCCACCCTGCAACAACTCACTCCATCAGCAAATGGAATCTATACAACGATTTGGATATTTTTTGTCGTGGATTTCACCCCGTGTTTTCCCCCTGTTGGTATTTTTTTAGTCATCTTTTAGTACTCTTTCCATATTCTACAGCGGCGAATCCACAGATTCACCACATCCAAACAGGGGAAACCAGCATCATGTTCACTTCAGCAAACAGAAGCATTTCGTCAGCGACTTCATTTACCCATGTAGGTAAATAGAAAGGGACCCCCCCCCAAAAAAAAAAATGGAACTTGGTCAACATTCAAACCAAAACCTAGGATTTACATCTTTTCTTTGCCCATCATTTCAAGGGCAAAGATGTAAGATGGTCCCAAACGTTGACCCAGGGAAGAAACCCAAAAACAACCAAAAAACCACAAAAAAACTCAAAAACACAAAAATCACACAAACAACAACCCAACAATCCCAGGAAACCCCCAAACCCCCCCCCCAAAAAAAAAAGGAACCCCCCAAAGCCCCCCCCCAAAAAAACAAATCCAGGCCGCCTTTTCTCTCGAGGCTCCTTCCTTCCGCGCCTCTCCTTGCGGCGGCTCAGCGCCGCGGCGGCCCGCGAGCCCACCAACCCCGCGGCGCGGCTCACCTCGATCGGTGCGGTGGCCGGATCGGAAAGGCCCCCACCGAGCGGTGCGAGAGGTAGAGAAGGACAGGGGTTCCTACATTTAAATGGCGGTGTCTACCTGAAAAATCCCTGTCCAAGAAAAAAAACACTCTTATACATTAACATTAGGTCCACTCTTATAAAGGGATTCTCACAATTGCATTATACACCTGAACATTGCCTTGTAAATGGTGGTGTCCCTTTGTTTGGGTGGAAAAAGCCATGTTTCAAATGGTTGCAAAATGTATCTTTTAAGGAGCCCTGAAGGAGTTGGAATGAACATGGAGATTTATGCGAACCCAGGGATTCCCAAGGAAACCACCAGTTGGATGGTTTTTCTTGCAAAAACACAACTATAGGCCACTCAAGAAGGTGGATGTTTTCGGGTTTCGCCTGAGAAAGGGACTCGGAACTCCGAGAAGGGGTGGTTAAAACCAAAAAAACAAAGTGGTCGCTTCATCTGAAACCAGGTCACGACAAGGTCACCCACGTAGGTCTCACAACTTTCGGTTTGTTCCGGTTGTAGCTGAAAATCGGAATCGGAACTCCCAGAAGGGCTGGTGTCCTTGTGGTGTCCAGTTCAACGCAACCAGAGGGTGTATTGTTTCAGCCCCCCCCCACTCCAAAAAACGAATGTTGTGGGTTTCCTGTTGCCCCCCCCTTAAAAGCAACCAAAGAAAGGGTCCCCAAAAGAGGACGCAACGGAAAATCACCAAAAAGTGATTGAGAAGTGATTGATGAGTGTGTGTTGCTTTTCAGGCTCGGTCGCTTTTTTGGGGGTTGGTTTGAAGGGAAGCCCGAGGAAAAGCACCATTTTAGTGGCCCCATTTATTCTGACACATACCCATCTTGAAACTGGCTAAGCCATATATTGGGACCCCTAAGGCATCATGACGGCTGGTACCCAAGTTTGCGCATTTGGTTCAAGCGAGCCGAGACAGGAAGAAGCCGGGTGCTGACAAGAATGAGGACTCCCGCTTCGATTGCAAGGATCTAGCAAACCGCAAACCGCGGATTTTTCAGGGAAGATCCCCTCAGTCCCAGGAATGAAAGGTGATCACCTGTTGGGGTCATGACCCAAAAAATGGGTGCCAACAAAAAAAAACACAAAAGCTCATTTCAGGTCGATTCGCTTTGGTGGCGAGTCCCGCTTCTTGCCTGCCGTTCCAAGCCACAAAGTTGGACTAGGAGATGCCCAAAGACGCGCGCAACAAGTGGGCCATCCCTGTGACCGATTTTTTGGTGTTTTGGTTGACTTGTTGTTTGTACTTTGTGTTGCGTGCTTTTGTGCTTTGTTGCCTTGACAAGTGGGTTTTCCGTGCTTTGCTTGCCTTTTATTTTATTTTTTTTCGCGGGCGGGGGTTCACATGCCCTGGGTGGGGCCCCCCAGATCCCATTCCTCCCCAGACCAATCAATGTCACGGGCATGTTCTCTCGACACAAGCCGCTTGCCACCTTGCCTTGGCATCGATCTCCTCAAGGGTCTGCTGCAAGGGCGGCCCGCCCTACCGACGGCCCAGGGCGAATGAGACCCGAGACACCTGACATTTGTTGATACCACTTGGCGCCTGTTACAGCCCACCCTTTTCTCCAATGTGTTTTTTCCTTGTGTCCCATAGGACGTCGACTATTGCAGGCAACGTCCCTCGTCGGGCGCATGCTTTGGCTGCCACGGTGGGTGAAACTGCCTCCACATCTCAAATCCTGGGAAGCAAAAGTTCCGGAGGACAGAAGCGGCTAGGGCATCCTTTTGGAAATGTCGACGAGTTCCAGCGTCGAATGATTTGAACCAAGCTGAAACCAGTGCATTGCACCAATGTTCAACCAACAGGCTTCGCTAAAGTGGCATCCTCAGAAAGACCTGCTACAGGTGATTCAAACGGCCACCATTCCCAAATCCATTTTCAGAACCCCCACAGGGTTGACCATAATGGGCTGAACAAATACTAATCATGTTCTCCCAGATGGCTACACAACTTGTAATCAACGTACCCCTCCAACTCAATCTAGTTGATTTAAGCCCTGATAGAACCTGATGGGAAGCAAGCTTCTGCCCTTCAGAAGTCGGCGCCCTCCCCGCCGCCGCTAGACTCCCCACCGCCGCTGCTAAACCCACCGTCGCTAGATGAGGGGCCAGCCACGACCTAAGCGGAAACGGATTGATGTCCTCTCCTCTCCTGTCTCAATGAACTAACTCACTTGCTGAGTGCATGGCCCAAAAAAAGTTCAAACTTTGTATCTACCACTAAAATGGTCGTCCCAAAAAGTTTAAAGTTCATGAACTCGGGAAGTGAGACTATTAGTTGTTGGTTGTTTGTTGTTCGGTGATGCTTACTTGCTTACTTGATTGCTTGCTTGCTTGCCTGCCTGCCTGCCTGCCTGCCTGCCTGTTTTGCTGGCTGGCTGGCTGGCTGGCTGGCTGGCGGGCGAGCGGGCTGGCTGGCTGGCTGGCTGGCTGGCTGCCTGCCTGCCTGGCTGGCTGGCTGGCTGGCTTGTGGGCTGGCGGGCGGGCTTGCGGGCGTTCGTGCTGGCTGGCGGGCTGGCTTGTGTGCGTGCTTGCGTCTTTGCTCTCTGTGGCGCGGAACTCTTTGTGGTGGCCCAAAATGCGAAGCTTCGGGACACATCGGGGTCGAAGCGGGAGAACCTGCAACTCTCCTGCAGATTAGCATGGAAGCCAACAAACCATGATTTGTGGAGGAACCTTTTTGGTGGGGGGGTGGGGGGTCTTTGTGTCACCTCAACACATTCAAAAACACACCAAGAGGGACCAACCAAAAGCTCCGTTCCTCGAACCCGGTCGACTGCTCGATTGCCCACACCCCGCCCCCCAACCCCCACGTTGGCCAAGCCGCCGTGGGCAAAACCACTTCCCTGACGGAGGTGGCGGGGCAAAAGTAGCACTCTGTGAGCTCCCCCTGCAAGCCCGGCAGGATCAGGGTGCTCCGCGTGTGCGCCTCAACCGGCGGCCCGTTTTTCCGAGTCGCGCGCCTTAGGCCTCACTCCTGTTGCAGTGCCCCTACAAAACCCACGGCACTCAACTCAAACGTCAAGCAAATGTGGCATGAACGTGAACAAACTTTGCCATGAATGTGCAACACAGGAGGAAAAGCAGCTGGCTGTCAGCGGCCCCCAAAACCCCCCCAATTCCAATGGCAACTCCTGCGGCTTCTTCGGGTCTTCGGGCTGGCAATCGGAAGAAAGGGGACCTGCCAGGACTGGCCTCCACAGAGCTGGCGGGCAAAGCAAGGAACCACTTCTTTTTCGGGCAAAACGGGAGTTGAAGGGTGCCGTTGAACAACTGGGTGTCGCAAAAACGGAACCTCTTTTTTTGCGTTTTTTTTTGGGTTTTTTTTTTTTGGGGGGGGGATCAGCTGCGTGTCCTTTTACATGGAGGGAAAGAGGTTGGACATAGCTGGCCAAAGGAAAACCAGGCCAAAGCTGCACATGGCCGCCTCTGTTTGGTCGGCCGTGAAGCTTGGCTCACCACAGTGAACCAAGCAAAAAAAACAGCCAGGACCTGAAAATGCGAGGCTCACCAAACAACATACGGACCAAACCAGGGAAACCAAAACAAACAAAAAACGGGTCTCGCTGCATCCTTTCGGCGCGCGTCATCCCTGCGGCCACACCCCGGGCTCCGGCTCTCGCTCCCTCTCCCCGAGGGGCGGTGCGGAAGCCGCAGGCGGGGCAGCGGTGGAAGCGGCTCCAGGGCACCTCCTCCAAGATCCCCAGGCCCTGCCGCCGCTGCGCCGCCTCGATGTCGATTTAAGGTGTCTGTTTGGTTGTTGTGTTTTTCTCCTTTGTTTTAATAAAATAAGCTCAGGTGATATCCCCAACAGCACGCGGTGCTCTTTTTAGTGCTCGTACCACCCTGCAGCTCTCGCAGGACCTCGTGAAACCCTGGTGGAACCCTCGATAAACCCTGGTGGAACTCTGGGGGAACCGTACCTGCGGGCCGCCCCGGACCACCCCGGAGCCTATCTGGGCTGAGACCCCAAAGCTTTCAGCTGTTGGGGAAAAAAAGAAGAAACCAAAAAAAAACAGTACACACACACACAATCGGTGGAGCTAGGGGGAAGATCGAACCCCTGGGAGCTGGGGGAAAGATTCGAAGCCCTGGGAAAGATAGCGGGAAACATATTACGCCGCGCCCCCCAAAATATCCCCAAAGAAAAAAAGGTTACTTATGGGAATGTCGGGAAAAGCCCTCCCCTTCAGTTTGAGCTTCCGGTGGGTGCCCGAAGTGTTGCAAGCAAACCTCCCGACCAAAAAGACATTGCAAATGTCCGCAAACTAAATCGAAGAGACTCAGTTTCCGAACGTTCCCTTACTTGCAACATGGCGGGGCATCCAGCGCGTAATAAGGTTTCAAGGAGGTGGTGAAGTACGGGAGGGAGGAAAGTTGGTGTGGTTCTAAGTTTCTATGCCGATTTTTCCACTTGGACATCAGTTCACGAGGAAATTCAAGAATTGGCAAGGTGATGCTCAAACAATGATAAGGGGATCCCATTAGTATCACAAGAAGTCCTCAAAGCAAACTTCTCACAGCCATGCAGTACCCTGGAAAGCTTGGGTGGAATTTTGATGGGTCCCCGACGCTTTGGACATCATGGTGGGGATTCCCACGTCCACCAACTACTTATGAGGCAGTTCCCTACTACGGATGGACGAAATCCATTTCGCACCACTTTCAACCCTTCCATTTGGTTAATACCCCTGGAACAAATACAAATCTCTCCAGTAGTGATAGATTCCCTTTGAAACCAACAGGGGAAAACAAAAAAATATTCCTTTCAGCAATTGGAAGAACCCATGGGAGCCATTCGTTGGTATTGACAGGGGAAACGCGAAAGAAACCGGGGTGTCCGAGGTGAGAAGCGGACCATCAGCTTCCCTCTTGGCTTGGATTTTTGGGCCTCGTGGGTGTCCACATCTACCCTCTGCAAAGGGCAAAGCTCCGCTCCGCTCCCTTTACCTGAGGGTTTTTGTATTACACCCTGGGATTCGTTTGAAAAATGACCCAGAGCGCTTCAAAACCACACGTTGTTCTCCGGACATGTGCCTAAATGGGGCCCATACCAGGGATCCTTACATTATACACCTGAACATTGCCTTTGGTGGGTTCCCTTTATTTTGGTGGAAAAAGCCATGGTTCAACTGGTTGCAACATGTATCTTTTAAGGAGCCCTGCATACCCAAGGGTGTAATTCGCAAAACCCCTCGACCCCCTGTAGGCCTCCTGGACCTCCTGCGGCTCCAGGACCACCTCCCGGCCCCGCCGCACCGCGCCCCCCAGCCGCGGGGAGGTGACCGACCGCCAGGTTTTCGGCGGCGCCGAAGGCGCCCAGACCTGCGGAAGGATCTCGCCGAAGGCGCCCCCCGCCCCCCCGCCCCCCCGCCCCCCCGCCCTTCCGCAGCTGTTCCCTTTGGTCGTGTGGTTTGTTTCTTCTTCTTTTTTGGAGGGGGGGGAGGCGAAGAACATGGGTGTGCTGTGGTGGTGGTTGTTTCTCTTTGTTTTTGTTTCATCATGATTTGTTGGACGGGCGTCTTTTTTTTTTGGAAGGTGCCCCGGCGCCCCGTTTCGTTGGGCAATGTTCAAGGGAAAGGCCAAAGGATGGCTGTCCTCTGGGTTGTCACCCCCCATTTGCTTACCCCTCCCCCCATCTGCTATGGAACCTGCCTTGGGCGTCCTGAAAGACCAGTCTCTGAAAAGAGCCAGAGCTCTGGTGGGTTTGGTCCCGTGGTGCAGGGTAAGTCTGTTGGAGAAGAAAGACGCCTGCAGTGAGTCATAGACTCCCTGTGAAACCAACAGCGAATGGAATAGAAGGTCAAGGCCAAAGGAGGATGGGTGGCTTTGGCCCGAGCCCGCCCGAGCCTAGATCCTGCGAGCCTGAAATTCTGCGGAAATGTCAAGTGGTTGAAATGTTTCCCAGAGGGTCCAGGAGTCCACGTTCTCCAGAGCTACTGTTTTGGTTAAGCAGTTCAACCACTGTTTGTTGGCATTTACAGGGACATCGAATCAGAAACCCGGGTTTCTTAGGCGTTGCGAAATGGATTTGGCAGACTTCCCTTGGTGTCCCACCTTGCGGCACCCAGGGCGACCGCAGCCACAGAGCACGTGCCTCACCGAGCCCAGGTCCCGCCTCGGTAGAAAAAAGGCGGGGCTGAGACGAACTAACTAGATGCAACTTCTTCGCCTCTGGGGAAAACACGTTGTTCAAACCAAAAGCTTTGAGCAGCAGCAGATCCACTTCCACAATGGCGAGCTCGCCATGGTCAAGAAGTGGCTTAAAGATCCCAGATCCAATCGCTGGCGCATGGAAACCCCCCGTTGATCCTTGCGAGCCGTTTTGTGGTGCAATAGACCGGCCCTCCTGATGTACGACCAGTCCCCAAAAAAATGCAGCAGTTTACCAGCGAATCGAAGCACTCCAGTTGGGCTTCTGAACGGTTGCCTCTAATTGGTTTGGATGGGTTTGGAGGTTCATGGGAGGCTCATGGGTGTCCCATCTGCAATGGTGCATTTACAAGAGAATCGAATCATACCAGGTTTCTTAGGTGGCGCAACAAGCGGATTTCGCAACTATCCACGGTAGATCCAATTCGTTCGATTCAAATCCAGCTGCTCCCCCTGGGCTTTTTGCTGACCTTCCCGAAAAGACGGATCGCTGCAAAGACTGACAGGGATCCTTACATTATACACCTGAACATTGCCTTGTAAATGGTGGGTTCCCTTTATTTTGGTTGAAAAAGCCATGTTGCAACTGGGCAACATGTATCTTTTAAGGGGCCCTGACTGGGGAGCTTCGCCCTAGATCCCATCGCATTCAAGGCGCTCCGCCCTTTGGCCCGGCGACAGCTCATCGTCCAAGGCGTCCCTCAGGCGGCCCATGCGAGCCCCACAAGCGCAGGGCGGGGGGCGCTGCAGGCCGCGGTTCCTCGTGTTGGAGGCGTGGTCTGCCTTTGAGGCCACACTTTTTTGGGATGGGTTTCAACGGAAACGAACGGAACACCATCGATTTTGGGGAGTCCCCAAAAAAAGGCTCACCCACATGAGGGGTCAAAGAATTAGAAGGTTATCTGAGGGGGGGGGGGGGGTACTTTAAAAAGTGTGTGCCTATATTTCGCTCCTTATATTTCCCCCCCCCCCGATAGATTGGCCCGTGACATGAAGCAAGTGCCCTGCGGCCGGGAACACTCCCATTTACCTCTACAGCCAGAAGTTTTAACCCCTAAGCCGTCAAAACCAGCAAGGAAGGACGAGGAGTACCCCCCCCCCCCCCTATTTTCCTGAAACTGAAAAGGGGTCCCTCCAAAGAGCCGTCTTCCCTCAGCCAAGCTCCAGTCAAACGCTCCAGCCCACACTTCCGGCTTTTGTGGCGTTGGGCCTTCTTTTTTTTTGAAAACTAGGGCGCGACCTGCGTTGGCACGAGCATCCTTTGGCTGTCCTTTGAAGCATCTGAGCATGCACTCCCCTGAACACACACCCATCCCAGCAAGAAAAACCTCACCCACATGCCACAGAGCTCGTTTTTACACAACCAAACGCGCCCGCTGACAAATGTCTCACTCCCGATCGAGTGAGTTGGATCCCAAAAAGTCATCAAACTTTTAGTTTACCACTCAACTGGTGCAACTCACTTCCTGGGTTGGATCGACGAAAAGTCCAAACTGTTCATTTCTCGGCTCCAGTCCGAAACGGTCTCCATTCCCAAACCGCAGGTCAAACGTCACCCCCAGCGCACCAAGTCAACTTCCAAGAAGTCCGGACTCCAGCGGGAAACAAACAAAAAAAAACAGATCTCATTGCCCCGGCACGCCCGGTAAGCCATCTCGAGCCCCAAAGCGCACGAGCTCGAGAAAAGCCACGGTCAAAAGCCTCGAGCCCCAAAACGAACGAGCGAGAAAAACCTCGGTCGCGAACTCTGCTCCCCTGCGAAAAGTTGACAACTTTTAGTCCTAACATCCCGTGGCAAACTGCACCAAAGTAAGGGTAGCCTTTTTCTGTAGTCTATTTTAGCAGGGGCTTGCCCTCCCCCAGAAAAGAAACGGTAAAAGTTGGCACCTAGCTGAAAAAAACCTAGCAAAGAATGGCCCAAGGAGACCCAATTTGGATGAGGACAATCCTTAGGCAAACCATGGTGATATGAATCACCAGTTGGGTGTGGCTCAAAACTAATCAGGAGGGGCAAACCGCAGGTGTTGGTCCATGTTTCCTCTTGCCAGGGCAACCCATTTTGGGAATACCGGTTGTTTGAGCCACAGCCACTTGTTGTTTTGGTAGGGTCAAACTACAGCCACGGCTGTAGGCGGGGGGGGGGGGGGGGGCTTCGGGACAAGCCAAGCCCGAGGCGCAGCACCAGAAAGCCGCAGGCCAGCAGCGAGAAGCCGCTCACCGCCCACAGCAGCTCCGCCTGGGACCGGAACCGCTGGGGCCGGGAGATCTCCTCGAAAGCGCGCGCCGTCGCTCGCTCGTCGCTCTCGCCCTCTCGCGGTTGTTCTTTCAATCTGTCCTTTTGTTAAGAAATATAAATATAAAGATATATATATATATATATATTATTGTTTTATATATGTTTTTTGTTTTTCTTTTCCTTATTTTTTATCGCGCAGACCTGGGGGCGAAACATGGCTTCCAGTTGCTTTTCCGCCCCCCAGAAAAATAATTTCCAGTGGTGATAGATTCCCTTTAAAACCAAGAAGGGAAAATAACAACATATTCTTAAGCAAATGGAAGATGGGTGAACGTCGCAAAAACGCGGGGTGGGGGGGGGGGGGAGACAACCAAAAATGGGCTTGAGGGGAAATTGGGGAAAATGCACATGAAGTGGACACACAAACACACAAAAAAAAAAGAACGTGAGGTTTCCTGTCAAAGCTTGTGGTTCCCCTTTGAACACACCCAAAAAGTGTCAGTGCACCCTCGAAACATCACTCCCACATGTTTGAGAGTTCCCAAACGACTTTGGGGTGGCCTCTTCAGAATTGAGACCTTTGGGCGTTGAATGCAGTTTCTGGAAAACATTCATTCATCCCCCCCTGCAGCGTTTTGGCAAAAGAATGGGTATGTAGCACCCGGGTAATATTGCAACATGCAAACAACAGCCAGCTCAACTGTTGCATGTCCCAAGACATTGCCAAAACGGAACAAACCGGATCCCCAAAACCCACAAGGGCATCCTCCCTCGCAAACCTCTCGAAACCACCGAGTTTTCTTCGTAGCTTCTCGCATCTCCTCGTCGGTGTTCCGCAGCTTCTCGCAGCAGGCAGAAACGCCGGCCTCAGCTCGAAGATTGGCAGAATGCAAACCTTTGGGACGTATTCTTCGAGGCAATTGACATAAGGGCCCAGAAAAAATAACTGCGGTTCTGCGGCGCTTTAAAACCTAGAAAACACATGTGGTCATGCTCTAACATGTGGCCGTGGTTCTAAAGCAGTAGTGATTATGCTGCCCCCTATGTTGCCCTTCTCACCTGGGTTCGAAGGAAAGCCTAGGAAAAAGCACTTTTTTCGGGCTTCCGCGATGGTCGGACCCTTTGAGGAGACATCATATAGGTCGGGGCTTACGTAAGCCCTGCTGAAGGGGTTCCCGTGAGTTCATTACCAATTGAAAAAGAGTCAGCAGTGTTGATCTCAATGATGATGTGTTAACTCTCTCCGCTCTCCGTCTTACAATCACTTTGGCTTTGGGCACCCCAGCGCGCAAAGGTCAACGTTGAGCATGCTAAGCAGGAAACACAGCGAGCCTCCTGTGAAAACTGGGTAGGAACTCAGCCCCGCACCAAAGACAAAAGACAAAGGGCCAAAGTCTACCTAAACCGGCGGAAGGGTGCGCTTTTCAGCTTCGGCCAAAAAAAAAACGCCAACCGGAACCGAAGTCAAATCGGAGCGGCCAGGCATCCCGCGTCGTACTCTCCCCGCCGCAGGTGGCCCACCATCTTGGAGCGGATCATGTCCTTCAGCCAGTCGTCGCGGTTGAAGACGTTGTTCAACCCCTTGCCGATCCTCACGCCGCAAAACGCGTTAAAAAGGAGGTTAAGACCTGCAACCAGAGGGCCATGGCCAGAGGCAACAAACAGCGGATCTGCCTTGGTTGCTGCTGACCCCTGACTGGCTCCCAAAAAGCTAAAGTCCAAAGATCCAGCCAAATGGCCATCAAGCTTCAAGGGGGCCGTGCTTCTCACTACACAAACATGCGCAAAGAATAATGGAGAAGAACCAAAGCAAAGCAAAAACAACAAAAACACAAGGTTTATGCGCAAACAAGAAATTGTGAAGAACAAACGCAAGCCAAACAACACCACAAAGAACCAAGGTTTAGCCAAAAGGTTCCCTTCGTCCGTTGTGCAGGGTCTCGAAAGGAGGGCCTTTTGTCGGGTTCCCGAAATTCGTTCCTTGCAAACTCCACGGCGCGGCGGCGAGATGGAGCTTCGAGGTCTTTGCGAGAGGTTCGACGCGTTCCAAGGTTAGGAAGTGGCTCTCCGTCCAAAATGTTTACCCCAAAAAAGCAGCCTGGTAAATGGAACCAAGGACCCAAATCTGCGGTCGCCTGGTGGTGTAATTTTGCGGCCTTCCGCGGGGTTCGCGGCCCCAGCGGGGTTCCGGCAAACCATGTTTGGAGGGGAGCCCTGTTTGGCCTTCCTGGGCTGCCCAAACCGATCCCCCGCTAAAAGCTTTTAACTTTTAGTGGGTTAAATAAATGGAAACCACCACTAAACCGGATGACTGGGAGCCACCAATATTCTATGCCAATTTGCGCGGGGGGGGAGAGTACTTGTGTGATGCGGATTTTTCTTTTCCGAGGCTCTCCACCTCAATGCGGCGGTCCCCGGTGGAGACCAGCACCAGCACCCCGTTGTTCTTCAGCTTGTCGCCCAGGCCCCAGGAGTTGAACAAGCGAGTGGAGAAGCGCTTCACCTCCGCCCGGTCCTTCTCGGCGCCCCGCACACCTCATCAGTCGACTTTTCTCGGTCGCAAACTCTGCTCCCCTGCGAAAAGCTGACAACTTCTAGTGGTTTAATGGAAAACCAATTCATTTGTTGGCGAAAAGTTAAAGTCCACATCCCTTGGCAAAATGCACCAAAGTTTTGTGGACGCGCGAAATCGACTTCGCGCCACGACATGAAACCATGCAAAAGCCAATTGATTGTGGGCATGAGGGGCGTCGAATCATTCCAGGGTGTTTTTTTTTTTTTTTTTTTTTTTTTTTTACGTGGTGCAGGATTTCGTCCATCCTCAGTAGGCGATCCGTTCAATAGGGAAACGCTGAGCTACTCGCTTGACATTTTGCCCCACGTTGTTTCGAGCACAGACCCCCTTTTTGGGCTACGAAGGGCAACCAGCACTCTCGGCCGCAGAAGGGCATATAGGCCTAATTGATGTCGGGAAGGGTCCGTGTATCTGGACTTCGCGACGAAGGGGGGGACCAATGGAACCACCGCCAAAATCGGAGCCATGAAAACCGCAGTCCCGCAGAATCCCTGCTATCTTCTAGGCCGGAACTAGGACCCCAGCAAATACATATATATATATATATATATATTTGCCTGGTTAGTGGGAAAAAAAAGCAAAGAAGGAAAACGGGGAGCTCATTCTGGGTCAGTGACACCCTCCGAAGCGACTTGTTTTTTCAGCGCAGCCCGGAGGCCTGAAGCGGAAAAACCTCACTGGACGCCACCGGGGCATATGTCGCAAGGCGGAAAACCAAGGGCCCCCAAGCCACTCCGTCCAAAACCACCAAAACTTGGGTGCTGTGACGTTTTAACTTGTTTGCTGGTTGAAAGGAAATATGAAGGGAGTCCAAAAAGTTAAAGTCTGAAGAGCCAACCCAAGAGCGGTAGAGAAAACGAGTCCGTCCGTCCCAGCCACCCCCCACGCAGCCGCGCGCCTGGCACCGTGACCACCACCACCTCCGCCCCGGTGGCTTTGCGGATGGCCGCGGCCATCTCGTCGATCTGGCGCTTGGCCTTGGGACTCAGCACCTGAAACGCGGCGCGATGCGATGCGGTTTTCGACGCGATGCACAGAGCTCACTGGCTGTGGGTGGTTTGTCTTTGGGCACCCTCCCAAAGGGGGCCCCAGGCTGGTCAATGGGCCAAAAAGAGCAAACAAAAAACTAAAAAACTATGTAAACTTACCACTAAAACGGTCTTCCCAAACAGCTCAAAGACTTAAAAGTTCATGAACTCAGCAAGTGAGGCAAGCGAGGTCCGGCTGAGGGGGGGGGTCTCCAGGCGTTCTAAATCCTAAACATGGTGCGTGCGCGCGTCTTGGCGGTTTCCCCTCTCCCGCACAACCCAATTGCTGATCTCCTTTTTGCAGGCGGGAGAGGGAACAGTGAGCAAAATCGCAAAAAAATCCCGTGAGTGCCCCGTCAAGGACATGAAAAGCAGTGAGCGTCTCAAACGCTCCAAGAGAAGTGAAGCAACAGATCCTGCCGCACCTTACCCAAATGGGGGGTGAACGAATTGAAACCTCCCCCGGCCTTTCTTGGCACTTTTGGACTGCAGACTGTGCGGCTTTCGGGCTTCAACCTCGGGAAGCCGGCCTTTGGCGCTTGCGCGACCGGAACCCGTGTCTTGGACGTTGTTTGCTGGATGTTGCTGGATGCCCCCTTTTAAAAAAAAGGGGGCCCGCGGAAAATAGACAAATTCCGCACTTGCCCAAAGGACCTGGAAGACAAATGCAGGATTAACCTTGACTCAAACATCGGCTGAAAGAAGGCGGAAAAAAAGAAGAAAAACAGAAGAAGAAAAACAACAGGAAAAAAAAAAGAAAACAAAGGAAAAAACACATATAAAATCAACATGCACCATGAACCATGACTTAACAATAGGCCAACAAAACGGAGGACGAACAAAAACAAGCCGGTCAACGGGTCAGCTCGGAACTCCGGTGGCCTTTCCTTTTCCGGAGCTCCCCGAAAAAAATTCTCGGCCCAGCGGCGTTCGCCATGTCCGACACCCAGCTGTTGGAAACGTAGGGCGAGCCCACCTCCCCGGGCGCCACCCGGCCGCCGCCGGCCCAGACGCTCGGCAGGCTCGGGCTCTTCAGGCGGAAGGGGGATTGCCGGTAGACGTACTCCACCTGCGGACGTGTGGACTTTTGTGTTTTTTTGCTGGCACCTGACGTTTGAACTTGGCCCCTTTTTGTCCACGACCTGCGGATGTCGGGGGTCCCTGTTTGCTCACCTGGCGTTTGGACTTGGCCCCTTCTTGCCTATTTTTCACGAGCGGGTCGGACGTTTGGGGTCCCGGAAAAAAAAAAAAAAAAAAAAACACATATATGGGGAAAGATGCGGATGGAGTCTCGCGGAAGTTGGAGCTTCAAGACTCAGACTCAGACACTTGCTTGGAAGAAAATGCTGAGGGAAAATCAAAAGCTCGGAGTCTGGAGGTGTGTCTTGGGTACTTCCATGAACTCGGTTGCATCTCGCCCTTTGAACCTATCCACCAAGGCCTGGCTATGCCTGGCTGAGCCAGGACCAAGCCCATGTCTCGCGCGTGTTTTTTTCCTGCGGTTGTCGAAGGGGCGCTTGCCTCCCGTGGAAAAAAAGAGAAAAGGGGGAAGAATTGGAAGGTGAGGAGTCCAACTGCTTCCCATCACCTAATCAGAACCCAAAGTTCATTCAATTTTGGGTGAGGCTTGTTGATCCGAGGTCAAAGTTGTCCCAAATCGCGGCTCCCCAAAGGCCTCCCTTCCGATCTGCAGAAAAAATCACGGGCTTCAACCATGAGCAGGGCTTGTCCGAAATAGATCTGAAGAATAGAGCCCCTGCCCCCGCCGCGCAAGTGCCTGCGAGTCGCGAACAGGTAACCCAAGCGGAGCTGTGTACAAGCATGAAACCGCAGACCCCCTTCAAATAATATAAACTAGCTACCTTTGAGAACGGGGCCTGTGCACTTCTATGTTCGGCTGGGTACCTGGTTGTCTGAAGAAAATCAATTCCTGTTGCAGGAAGTGGTCAATGGCCTTTTCAGAGTGGGGATGTGAGTGTATGAAAGCTTATCTCGCCCTTGCAGGAGGAATGGCACCACTCAAGCGGAGGAACACTCCTCACACTGATATTTGATATGTAAACCTACATATTATCAGTGTAGTTCCGTAATTGGACATCTCATAGGATTTGGTCTTCAAGTAAGGGAACCCCCAAAACGAGGTGGTTTCCTTTGAAACAGCAGCGCCACACAGCGGTCCGTATCTTTTTTCTGTGGACACCATCCCACTCGCTTTAAACTCGCCCCAAAGGTGATATGTCTGAAACCACCCCCGTTTTCGAGGCAAGTGTCATTCGGAATCCCTGAACCCCCCCCAGCAAAAAGAGCACGGTTCTCCCCATTCACTAAGCCCTACACAGGGCGCCAGAAAAGCGAGGAAAAACGGTCCCCGAAGCACCCGCCCATTGCCAAAATCTTCAGCTTCTGTCGGGTCAACCGAATCTGGGTGAATTATCATATTTCACCAACCTGAAATAAGGTGGTTGGGGGTATTCCCCAAATAAACCAGCATTTGGGGCGAATTCGGTCGTGTGAGGTCGTTGCCGCATCCACCGGCCTCCTTCTGCTGCAGCCGCGATTGCAGGGCGCCGGCTTTGGAGTTTGACACGCAGCCTAGAGAAAAAGCTCTCTCGTTTTTTGTTATTTTTTCCTTCTCTCTGGGGGGTCTACGAACAAAAGTTGTCCATAGGTGGCCTTTTGCAAAAAAAAAATGGCCCTGGTAAACGGAACAAAATCCATGTAAACCAGTGGAACCCATCTATATTTAACCAGGCTGGCGCAAAAAGGACACCTATGATGGTTTCTCTTTCTTCTGGGGGTCTACGTTACGAGCAAACCCCAAACTTACCCCCTCCAGACTTTGGGCCAAGGAAAGCTACATGTTTGCCTGTTTGAGGGGTCCACTGTACAAGACGCGTTTTAAATGTGCTGTTGTTTTTTGTCAAAATAGGGGTCCTCTAGTTGGTTTGCTCTTGGCTTCACATGCCAACAAAATGAACATCTGGCCACATGCCCCAGATTCGTTGGCGTCCAATCCCCGTTGCTGAGAAAACCCAGCTGCAACGGGGGGAAAAAAAGGCACTCAGGTCGTTCTTTTTCCGTTCGTTTCTGGTGACCCCAGAAACCCCTCGATTTCCTGTAGCTCGTCGCGGGTTTCTTTTCAGGCAGTGGCACCCTGGATGCGATTGATGCAGTCTGGACAAAAAAGGAAGGGGCAACCATCATTCTTGGGGTCCGAGCCTGAGACAAGCCATGCGCCCAGCGACCCCAGAGAGGTGCCCTTTTGAGTTGAAAACAGCTGGCGATTGGAACGGCCAGGCCAACGGAATCGCCATCTCTTTTCATCTAGCCAAAAAAGCCAAACACAGTTGGGCGACACCCATATATATATATATATACATACACACACACACATATATATACAAATATTATAGATTTGCTTGCGCCCCCTCCAGCCTTCCCAGCCTTGCCAACATGCACACCTACCCCTCCAACCGCCCAACGAGCCGAAGCCCTCGAGCCCTCGCCGGGGCCCCGGGCCACCCAGCCCGGCCAGCAGCACCAGCGCCGCCAGGGCCCAGGCGGCCACGCGCCGGCGCCAGCGCGCCAGGCGCGCCTCCTTGGCCCACTCCTCGGGCGGGGCTTTTGGGGCGCGGTTTTTGGAGCGTCCTACGAAGAAAAATTGGGACAAGGGTTTGGGGGGATGGATGGCTTCCTTTAACTTTCACTCATGGGTGGTTTGGTGGTTGATGGTTTGATCGTTTTGGGAGCGGGAGGTTTGGGGGACGGTTTCTTGAAAAAACCCCACAAATGGTTTGGTGTGGTTTGGTGGGACAAAGTGGTTTGGGGGGGGGGGGGTTGGCTTCCTTAACCCCACTCATTGGCGGGTTGGTGTATTGCACCGAAGGGTTGTCAATTGGTACCCAAAACGGCACTTCAGGTACAAATGGATCCTTGGAAAACGCCTTGTTTGTGAACTTTGAAGTGTTTCTTTACGTCTTGTATGATTTGCGACGTTGCTTGCTGGTTTTCTTCCGTACTTGCGTGCCTTTGCTTGTTGTGGTTACTTGTTTGTTGCATTGTTCCCGCAGGTCCCACTTTCAGTGTGCCTGAACATCGGGGAATGACCCCGAGCTCCCTTCATCCGCGATTTCTCGCTGGCGCCCACTTGGGCATGGGCCATGGGGAAGGCATGGAAGGCAAGGCAGTTGCGCAAAAAGGTTGATTTGAGATGACAACCCCGCCCAAGCCCAAATAAGGCAACAGGCAAAGGAACTTGCTGGGAAAATGAGGGGAGAATGATTCGGCACAAAGTCAACAAGCGAAAACACCAAAAATAATCAAATGTCAATGGAGAAATGCGCCCATAAGGTATGGAATGAAAGTGGCACAATTCCACCCATTTGGGTCGCTCGTCACATCCAACTCACCCTGAGCTAAGTCTGGCAAGGGAAAACTGCCCAGAGAACCATCTGGCTCCATTCATCAAAAACACCCTCCAAATGGTGGCTTAAAGGGAAACAACCCAAAAGCAGCTTTGAGAGCCCTTCAAGAGTCATACATACGTGTATGCAGAAATAAATAAATAAACAAATAAATAAATAAATAAATAAATAAACAAATAATACAAATAAATATGTATATATAGATATATATATATGTGTGTGTGTATATGTACGTGTTTTTTATTACTTTTTTTTAATATATATATATATATATATTCATACTCATATACGTACATACCTTGATGGACACAAAAATCAAGGCTCCATCGGCACCGCGTCCGGGCGCTTGCGCGCCCCCAGGCGCCCCCCGGACTCCGCGCGGCGGCAGATGGCGGCGCAGACGGCCGCGCAGGCGGCGGAAGCGAGTGGGCGGGCCGAGGGCTTCGTGCCTTGGAGGCGGGGCGTGGACCTTTTGTCCCCGAAAACAAAAGACACCAACCCAAGCTTGAAACCAAGGACTCCAAAGCAACCAAAAGGTTCCAAGACCCAAACAACAAATATGGGCGGTGTCTGTTTCAGGGAAAAATCACCTTGGTTGCTGCGACGACTCCCCTGGAACAAGTGGCAAGTTTTTGCGGGGGTTATTTCCCAAAAGTTGTCTCAAGATCCAACCCAATAGCAGTCAAGCATGTCGCCATGAATTTTAATGGTCGGAATTGCCTGAAAAGTGAGTGGTTCGACAAGAATCCCCACTGAACTTTCATGATCGCAGGTTTCAAAGGGATCTATCACTGGACTTCTTGTTCCTAGTGTGCCTTGGACCCCCTACTTCTCGCACCGATCGCCAAGTTTTGAGGCACACCAAGAGCCGAGCAGCCCGCGGTCCGTCCCAAGCCGGCCGCCTTCCGGCTCTGGACTCCGGGCCCTGGGTCATCCAGGCGCCAGGTCCCCAGAGCCCAGGGACAAGACGCGGCCGGGGCGGGGAACATGGCGGAAATGCGAAAAAGCGGCTTGGGGTCTCCGACCCCGGGGTTCCCCACAAACACTTGGGTGTTGGCTTTCTTCGGAGAACCCGTTCCACCTTGAGTTGAAGGGAAGCACAACGGAAAAATCGGCTTGTATGCAGCCCCGCTAAACCCACCTTTGTGTCCACCAACCAGTTTTGATGTGCTTGTTGGGTTGCTCAGATGACGGAATTGCGCTTGCTTTGGGGCTTTGCGCAATCCAAAATTGAGATGTTGCTTGTTTTGCCATGTGTGGTGTGTTTGCTTTCTCCGTTCTGTTTTCTTGCCCTCCCTTGGCGGAGGGGGATGTGAGTTGAGACATCGCTTACTTTGTTCGTGGGTTTGCTTTTGCTTGGTTGGGGATGTGTCCAGCTGTTGCCTCAGAGCGTAAAAAGCTACTGGCCTTCTGACACAAAAAGCTGCACGTTGGACGCTCCAATTCCTCCGACAATGAAGATCTTTCTATGGCTCGCTCGCTCGCTCGCTCGCTCGCTCGGCTCTCTCTCTCTCTCTCCCTCCCTCCCTCCCTCCCTTCCTTCCTTCCTATTTCCCTCTCCTTCTCTGTTCTCCGGCCAGTTCACTTCCTGAAATTCTCGCCTTTCGGGCAGATGGCTACCAGCACTGCCGGGGGCCCTCAAGGCTTCAGGCGGAATTCCCCCTTTCCTGCGAATCAGACAAGATCCCTTGGAACAAAAGAACCCTTTGGGCTCTCTTCTGGCACTTCAAATCAGGGTCCACCCAAAATCCAGGGCTAACACACTCCCTCAAGTTGGGCGTATGCAACCACTATATAACATACCAGAGGGTGACCTACCAGAGGCTATGTATCCAACTCCTTCTTGAGGCTTCGTAAATTGAAACCTCGAGAGGGACAAATCCGGGACCACCCTTGATCCACCAGCCTCCTTGGTCTGCAGGGACTGCTTGGTCGCCAGCGCCTGGCTGGCATTTCCATGGAAATGGAGAAAAAGGGTCCTGGTCCCAAAAAAGCGCCCAGAACGGTGCTTTCATTTGCGTTTCCCTTTAAAAAGGGCCCAAAACCCAAATTGGTGTGTTCTTCCTTGTGGTGTCCCTTAAAAATAGGCTGGGTACACTCAAAAAGACACATGTACCTGGCATGGTGAGTGCCCCGAATGTGCCCTGTGCCACTAACATTCTTGGAGGAAAATGGTCCGAACAGCTGACCGTGCGGTTGTGGATGGGAGGGTGCTAGGGTTGTTCAATTTGCGGAAGATGATGGGACACCACTGCAAGGAACCGTCAACACCCTTGCAAACCATCTGGCACAAGGATTCCAGGATTGAGAATTGATGTTCAACGCCCCAGGCATCACGAGGGTCCGGACTTTGGGAAACAAGGAGGAAGGTCATGATATGGGTGCAATGTGTCACATACAATAGTTTCATCGCACGCCTCATGCCTGGTTGGCCTCTCTCCCCCCCTTTTGTGACATCCCAACCGGCCTGGGATCAAACAGGCGCAGGTCTCTCCGAAAACGGGGTGTATAACAGCCCAAGCGACTTCGCCACCCCCCCCCCCCCCCCAACACCTTGGGAGGTTCGCCAAGGGGGGAGGGGAGAAAAACGAAAAAAACAACATGTGGATCCCCCCCCCCCCCGCCACCAAAAGGCCCCAACCAGACTCGGACCTTAGAACAACTGAGGCCGCCGGCCTTCAGTACAAAGGCCCCGTGCTTCAGCGCCAGAAAGGAGGCTCCCCGGGTGCAGCGGGTGAAGTTGGCCTGGCTGGGCGCCATGGACGGGGCGAAACGAAAGGCGGAGACCGAAGAGACGAAGAGGGCGGCACCGAGGAATCAACGCGACACCAAAGCAAAAGGGCACCTCGAGCCTCGAGCCCACCAAAACCAAACCAAAGGACATGGCTGTGGCTCCAAATGTACGAGCCAGGGTTACGCGGTTTTAGTCTTTGCTTCCATTTACCAAGGTTCCATTTTGGCACATTTATTTGAGCCACAGCCACATGGCAAGGGAGAAACCCCAAAATCTCGCCCCAGCACCTCTCTCGGCCGCCAGCCGGCTGGCCGCGAGCTCTCAACTCGGGGGCCCGAGGGACCGGCTCGAGCGATGCGAGCGAGGCGAGCCTCCGCCGCGGGCAAGGTGAGCTGGTCCTCCTCCAGCAACTGCAGGAAAGGCACCTCGGGCGTGTGAAACGCTCCTGGGGGATCCTGAGCCCTGAAAACAGGTGGAAAAATGCCGAACAAGGTGGGCGGATCGAGTTGAAGGGCCAAATGGGGTGATGGCGTTCCTGAACATGAGGAATCTCGGCTTCCATGTCACTGTGCAGGAGTGCGCTCGCTGGCTGAATGAAGGCGCACGCAGCAATTTGTTTTTCGGTGGCTTTCCTTAAAGGAAGTCAAACTCAGATACTTAAAGGAGGCGCAGTCATCACCCATTCAGAGTGCAACCCACCCTTCCTGGGATTTGACCGGCCAACCGGAGCCCCTCCCTGCAGATCAGCCACTGACTTCTCCGCAACCCACGCCTACGCCGTGTTCGCCCGGCGGCGTTCGACCCGCTTCCGAGTGACCCGGAAGGGGGAAGGGCAACCTGTTCGTTCTTTTGAAAAGGGTTACAGGTTCCGTAGAAACTGGGAATCCTGATGGGCGTGATTCCATCTTTAGTGACCTGCGAACCAAACAAGAGATCTAGAGAACGACACTGGAACAACGAGCCCTTGACGGCTGGGATGCATTCTGAAGGGTGAATTGGGTCATCACAAAGAGACCTGACTTTATCTCAAAGGGAGCTCCTGATATTTCGGCACTTCCCAAAGCCCATCCCTGCCCAGCAAGTTCTGAAGAGGGCTTAAGTTTTAGGGTTGCGGGCCCCAGGGTTTAGGTTTTAGGGTTAAGGGGCTCAGGGTTTAGGTTTTAGGGTTAAGGGCCCCAGGTCACAACGACATGGGCTCAACTCGAGCCAAGAGCCCCAGGCGACCTCCAAGGGGGGGGGGGGGGGCTCAGGGGTCCGTGCCAGTTTGTGAGGGTTGCTGTCGAAACCCCGAGTCCGTCGCCGCACGTCTGGTTCACCAGAACTTGGTCTTTCGAGTTTTCTTCAAAAAAGCTGTTTGTGCACAAAGCCATGTTCAGCATCTTTGTTTTTTTGGGGCTCCCTGTGTATCCCCCCTACCTCCAGGAGGAGGGGGGTGAGGGGTCCCCAGTTTCATTTATCTAGTCTTCCCCATACAAGGGAAAATCGAACCACAAATGGAGATCTCCAGGGGTCACCCCCTGCCCCAAATCCATTTTTAAGGGGGTGGGGATCCACGTTTGCCAGGGGAGGCGAACACCTGCGAGCGAGCGAAACAGCACCCGCCTTGCCCGCGCCGGGCTTGCTCCCGAGGGGTAGGTCGCCCTGGAAGACAGAAATGCTGGCCGGGAGGAAATAAAGAAAAGGGAAGAAAAGAAAAGGGGAAGGAAGGAAGGAAGGAAGGAAGGAAGGAAGGAAGGAAGGAAGGAACGAAGGAAGGAAGGAAGGAAATGCAAGGAACAAAGAAACAAGCAAGCAAGCAAACAAGCAAACAAACTAACCAAACAGCCAGCCAGCCAGCCAGCAAGCCAGGCAACCAATACCAACCAACCAACCAACCAACCAACCCAACCAACCAAGCAACCAAGCAACCAAGCAACCAAGCAACCAAGCAACCAAGCAAACAACCAACCAACCAAACAACCAAGCAACCAAGCAAACAACCAAGCAACCAAGCAACCAAGCAACCAAGCAACCAAGCAACCAAGCAACCAAGCAACCAAGCAACCAAGCAACCAAGCAACCAAGCAACCAAGCAACCAACCAACCAACCAACCAACCAACCAAGCAACCAACAACCCAACCACCCAACCACCCAACCACCCAACCCCGACCACCCAAGCACCCAACCCCCCAACCACCCCAACCACCCCAACCCCCCAACCACCCAACCACCCAACCACCCAACCACCCAACCACCCAACCACCCAACCACCCACCCACCCACCCACCCACCCACCCACCCAACCAACCAACCAACCAACCAACCAACCAACCAACAAAACAGGAAGCAAACAACGCAAGAGCGCAAAAGCATGCAAACCAACAGGCAAATGCGTTCAGCTCGCCTCCGATGCCAATGTCTCCTGGCACGTCGCTGGGTCAACACATCAGCATCCACTTTTTTTAAAAAGGGTCGTTAGCAAAACTGGGTTGCTGTTGCCCCCCCTGCAAAAAGCTTGACTTTTTGGGGGTTTGATGGAAAACCCCTTGATTTCAACCAAAAAGTTCAAGCCCAAAGATCCAACCCAATAAAGAAAAAACGCGGACCCGCGCAATTGATCGTGTTCCTCTTGGCCTCCCGTTACACCAAACAGGTAACCCGTCGGGTCGGTGGTTTGGAGCCCAGTGGGAACTGGACTTGGACTACCCCTGGCTCCTTGTAGGGGGTACATGGGGGTCCCACCTCCTTTACCACCTTTCACCAATCCCAACCACCAACTAAGGGCTCAAAAACAAGAAGAAACGCTCACCCCTTTTTAGCTTCACCAGCCTGCTGGGTGGGAACTGCTGGTGCTAAACAGTTGGCTTGAGTGGCCCCGCGGCCCCGACATCTTGCGAACAGCCGTGGCTAAAAAACCTTTGCCTCCCGTACTGTGGATGGACAAACACTTGCACCACTTTGAAACCAGGGGAAACCATTGTCTGTTGGCATTTCCAGGGAAATCGAATTATTCCTGAACGGTGGTGCGAGAAGCGGATTTTGCAACCATCCACAGTATGAAACTCCACCACTTCCCATTGGCGCAAAGGACGCCGAGGAAAGCCAGCGGGGCTCCGAAAGGAATTCTCACTTGTCCTCGTGCGTCCATCCACACAATTTGAATCAGGGCCTGGTTCAAAAAATTTGGGAAGCCCTATTTTATGGATAGCTTATTATATGGATCTCGCTGTAGAACCCTAACGCCAAAAACAAAAAAGCACCCTCAACGACCCCCAAAACTCTCCTGGCTGGCCACTCGCTGCGCCGGCAAGGGGTCCAGCACCAACCAAACCTCAGCTTCCCCTCTCAAAGGAAGCGGTTTGGAGGCTTTTCTAGTCCAACTCGGTTGCTTTCTGCTCCCCTGCTAAAAGTTTAACTTTTAGTGGTCTAATGGAAAACCCACCTCAGGGCCGCCCCGGAGCCTATCTGGGCTGAGACCCCGAAGCTTTCAGCTGTTGGGGAAAAACAGGGTTGTTGCTTGGTTTTTCTTGAAACCACGGTGAACAAATGCAAAAAACAAAAGCAAGGTTTTCCCTTGGTTTTCCCTTGGTTTCCCTTGAAACCCCTGTGAAATAAAGCAAAACCCCACACCCCCCCCCTCACAAAAAAAAACTAGACCACGGTTGGCCCGAAAGCAGAACATCGCAAGCGAGGTCGGCCCAACGCTGCAGGATGCGTTCTTTTTCCCTACACTTCGTGAAGCGCGAGACAGCACCAGGCAAGGTGCTCTGCGCAAACTGGTCGGTGCAAGTTGGTCTGCGCAAGTTGCTCTACGCAAGTTGCACTGTGCAAGTTGCTCTGCGCAAGTTGCTCCGCGCAAGTTGCTCCGGCAAGTTGGTCCCTGCAAGTTGCTTGCTCTGTGCAAATTGCGCTCCCTGCAAGTTGCTCTGTGCAAGCTGCTCTGTGCAAGTTGCTCTGTGCAAGTTGCTCTGCGTAAGTTGCTCTGCGCAAGTTGCTCTAGGCAAGGCGCTCTGCGCAAACTGGTCGGTGCAAGTTGGTCTGCGCAAGTTGCTCTGTGCAACTTGCTCTGCGCAAGTTGCTCTGCGCAAGTTGCTGTAAAATGCAAGTTGCATCTTGCGACGCCCGCCCGCGGACCAGGGAGGAATCGAACCCGCGACCCGCCGGTTCCGGGAGCAGGCGCGCGAACCACGAGACAACTCCCGAGGACCAGTTCGAACAACAAAAGTCGCAAAAAACCTTGAGTTTTTGCACCTCGACCACGCCGATTCCCGCAGAGGGTTGCGCGAGCACCGCAGAAATCGCAAAAAACCATGGGTTTTTGCACCTCGACCACGCCGATCCCCGCAGAGGGTCGCGCGAGCAGGTTAGAAATCGCAAAAAACCATGGGTTTTTGCACCTCGACCACGCCGATTCCCGCAGAGGGTTGCGCGAGCACCGCAGAAATCGCAAAAAACCATGGGTTTTTGCACCTCGACCACGCCGATCCCCGCAGAGGGTCGCGCGAGCAGGTTAGAAATCGCAAAAAACCATGGGTTTTTGCACCTCGACCACGCCGATCCCCGCAGAGGGTCGCGCGAGCAGGTTAGAAATCGCAAAAAACCATGGGTTTTTGCACCTCGACCACGCCGATCCCCGCAGAGGGTCGCGCGAGCAGGTTAGAAATCGCAAAAAACCATGGGTTTTTGCACCTCGACCACGCCGATCCCCGCAGAGGGTCGCGCGAGCAGGTTAGAAATCGCAAAAAACCATGGGTTTTTGCACCTCGACCACGCCGATCCCCGCAGAGGGTCGCGCGAGCAGGTTAGAAATCGCAAAAAACCATGGGTTTTTGCACCTCGACCACGCCGATCCCCGCAGAGGGTCGCGCGAGCAGCAGAAATCGCAAAAAACCATGGGTTTTTGCACCTCGACCACGCCGATCCCCGCAGAGGGTCGATTTTCGTGTAGTGTCGTCGGCACTACCCCGCCGCCCTAAGAAGAGATTTTAACTCCTCGCAAGTCAATTGCACTTGACTCCTTGCACTTGCAACTTGCACTTGACTCCTTGCTTGTTTCAAGGAGTCATTGCAAGCAGTCATTGCAAGGAGTCATTGCAAGGAGTCATTGCAAGGAGTCATGGCAAGGAGTCATTGCAAGGAGTCATTGCAAGGAGTCATTGCAAGGAGTCATTGCAAGGAGTCATTGCAAGGAGTCATTGCAAGGAGTCATTGCAAGGAGTCATTCATTGCAAGTTGCAAGCAAGTTGCAAGTGCAAGGGGCCAAGTGCAAGGGGAAGCCAAGTGTGCAAGGAGCCAAGTGCATGGAGTCAAGTGCAAGTTGCAAGTGCATGGAGTCAAGTTGCAAGTGCAAGGAGTCAAGTGCAAGTTGCAAGTGCAAGGAGTCAAGTGCAAGTTGCAATCCTTGCCATGACTCCTTGCAATTTGCAATCCTTGCAATGACTCCTTGCAATGACTCCTTGCAATGACTCCTTGCAATGACTCCTTGGAATGACTCCTTGCATTGACTTTCATGATGATGATTCCTTGCAATGACACCTTGTAATGACTCTCATGAGAATTCAAGTGAACCCAGCGGAAGAACCCTTCGCCATGCTTTCGGGAAAAGAGAATCAGTTTCCCCTTGGCCTTCCCTTGAAACCACGGTTTCAGAAGGAAAAACAAAAGGCCACTCCCACAAAGCCCCACACGTGCCACACGTGCCACGTCGCCTTCCTATGGCTACCTCCCGCTCCTTTCAGCCCGAGCCGCCCCCGCCGGCAGTCGCAGCTCCCCGAGGCTCGCCACCAGCGTCAGCGGCCGCGAGCCGAAGCACACCGTCAGCCCCAGGGCGGCCCGGAGCTGACGCCAGTCTTCCATTTCGCTAAGTCCCTTCCAACCACCAGCTGGCGAAGAAAAATATTATTCCATTTGCTTTTTCGCCTGGAACAAACAAAAATATGTCCAGTAGTGATAGATTCCCTTTTTAGTAGTGATAGATTCCCTTTAAAACCAGCAAGGAAAAATAGCAAATGTTTTTAAGCAAATGTATGAATTTGAGCGGAGTTTGGGATTCGGCGCATTCGGGCGGCGTTTGGGTAGGCGTCGAAACCACAGGAAGCGCAGAAACAGGTGTTGTTTCCTTTTTTTTGGGGGGGGGAGAGATGTTCAAGAAAAAAACACTTGACCACACCCTGCGGTTTAAAAAAAAAAAGAAGAAGAAACAAACACTTGACTGCGGGCACTTTGTCAAGGGCGCCGTGTACCAGAACAGTAGGGGACAGTCAAAACTGGAAGCAGGACACGTGGAAAGGACGTGCAAACAATCCGAGGGACAGGTGCTGATTTTTGGGAAGGCTAGGATTCCAGGCCAACTCAGTTGAATGATCCCACACAAGAATGGGAGGCAACAGTTCGTACAAAGGCGGAGCCCCCTTTGTCAACCTGCAGTGGCCTCGGGGGCTTTCCTTTCAATTAATAACTATATTAAGCCACGACACCCGCATCGGCGCATCGCATTACCGCCCACGCTCCCAAACAAACATATTGAAGAAGATGCCACCTGGATGAGTCGCAAGTTGCATTCCCCCCCTCCCCCCCCCCCGATTTCCTGGCTCGAATTAGAGTAATCAATCCAACTTGTTGGTGTCTCAGCCCCTTCCTCGGATTACCCCCATAGGGTTGTGCAAGTTTGACCCTACACCCTTGTGGCCCTTTGGCCCTTTGGCCCCGTGGCCCAATGGAGGATATTCTTTCAACTCTTTTGTGGGAGTCTCTTTTTTTTTTGCAGGGCACCCGTTTTTTGTAGCAGGAAAACCATCTCTTTTCTTTGGGAGGTGGTTCCCCTTAAAAGAAGAGCAACACCCATGCCTAGACAGGTGGGTCTTTTTCGTGGACAGTTGATCGACCCCCTCGTCGTGAAGGATTCCTTTTGGAGGGGCTCGGCCATTTTCTCCTTGAAAAAAAGGAGAAGAACACGTTTTTGCAAGCGGACAACCATTTCTTTTTTGGGGGAGTGGTTGCAACAACAAAAAAAACACACACCCATGTTGAGACCAGTGGCAACCCCCTCCCTCAGCCCCCACGGAAATTTCCGCGCCAGCCTCCGGCCAGCTGGGGGGGTCCACGCCCTCCACGGGCGCCGCAAGGCGCCGGACGCGCGAGGACCGCGGCGGCGGCTCGGGCGGCGCCTGGCTGTTGAGGGTGGGGGGTGGGGGGTGGGGGGTGGGGGGGCTGGGGATGGTTCTGGGGAGTGCCACCAGAAAACTCAAAGTCAAAAACACGGGTGAGAATCACCCGGGAAAAAAAAGCAAACAAAAGGCCAACCTCCCTAGCACAAATCCAGCGGCAGCTGAAAAGAGAAACCAAAGAACGCCCCAATCTTCTGCCCTTGGGGCCTTGGGGTTTAGTCCTAAACCTGGGTAGTGAGAATCACCTTTAACAAAAAAAAAAAAACGTCACTCTAGGGGACACTTCCCCATCCTCGAGAAACCCAGTGAGAACGACCGGTGATTGAAAAGAACGATGGTTGAAAAGGATGGGGAATCACCCCTAGAATGGTAGATGACCCACCCATCGCCCGCTCCTCAGCGGAAATCAGAAAGCAACTACCCTTTTTTCCCTGGGTGAAAAAAGGGGAAGGCAGAAGAAAAACCGGAGCCCCTAAAACAAATCCCACGCAAATTGGCTGCTTTCAACAAACAGAACGTGCATGGGCCCCATGCCTGGTGAACCAAGACACTCGAGGGAGGCATGGGGATTTCCGTGGAGAAGGCGACAAGCCATCTGCCTATGGGGCGCCCAGCGCTACGAAAAGGTTAAGACCTGGCTTGCGGCTTGCCGTGGGAACGGGAAGCATGCTTCGTCCTTCAAAGCCACATCCCTACCAAGGCTTCACTCGTCTTGCATCCTTCGTATTGGCGCCCGGGGGTTTTGCAGGCCACTGGCCATGCGCCTGCGCGGTCTCGGGCCGCAGGATGCAGGTCAGGCGCAGGTACTTTGGCACCAATTGGCCTTCACGTGGTGGCAGTCATTCAAAGCTTGGCCCCCCAGATGGGTTTTAAAGGGGAACATGATGGACAAATCTAGAAAACGGTTTGGAGGTGTGCCCTTGGCGTGGATTTCACGGAATCTGTTTTCAGTGCCCTTTTAGTACTCTTTTGATCTCCTACGGGTGGATCCACAAGGGCGACATCCAAACTGGTTCCTAGAACAAAGAGGCAACAGGTAATGAAAGGCTAAGTTGAGCAATGCTACGGGATAGCAATGAACCGCGGAGAAAAAAACCTAACACAGCCCAAAGACCGACCGGTGTTTTATCTATTCAAGGCACGCTTGTCCTAAAACGGCCGGCAATTACATGTTGGCCTGGCGTTTCTCTTTCTCGGCGAGGTAGTTCAAACTATGAAGCCCAAACGCTTGACAAATGCCAATCGAGGAGAAGCGCAAAGCTGCCGAGAGATAAGCCGGGGCAAACTCATTGAGAGTCCTCCATTTGGTGACTAGGATTGGCGGCTTGGAGGCGTTGTGGGTGGTTTCCCATTTACCCTTTACAAGAACCATGGGTTACCCGCAATACCAGTCACCACACCACCAAAACAATAGCCAAAGATCCCCCCGAGTTCTGACAACACCTTGGTGCAACGGCGCCTCACTTCCCGTCAAGCAGCTTTTTGTTTACAAAGTGATCTTTCCGAAAAAGTGTCATGATTAGAGTGAGGCCTACTTCTAGAATGTATTGCTTGCTTCACTTGGAGCCACTGGCAGAAGCGGTAAATGCACGGGAACTCCGGCACTTGACGGGAGGAAGGCCTAAGGAGTGCAGCTAATTTGGGAACCCACGGGAACCCCCTCACTGGGCCCTCCGCAACAGGGATGAGAAGGCTCCCATTCATTTGGATGGGTGTTGGGAGGGGCCCAATTTTCGGGCAATCCCATTTTTAGCACACCTCGTCTCACCCCCCCACCCCTCCACCTCAAATCGCTGGCAGAACAGGCCCCCGAATCGGTGGCAGAACGGGTGTGCTAGCTGGCTTACAGCACCTTCCCCCCCCCACACGCCACAGTCACTGCGACCCCCCGAGCGAGGCGAGCGAGGCGCTCCTCGCGAGCGAGGCGAGCGAGGCCTGCTGTCTCCGCCCGTTCTGTGCGTGGCGACACCTCCAGGCCCGAAGAAGCGAAAGCGAAGCGAGCAACCTGGTGTGTCCCTTACCCGACTGCTTGATTCCCAGCACTGTGACTACAGCTCATTTTCAAGAGGATTGCTCACTCACAAAAAGTGGGATTCCGTAAACCACGGGATTTCCAACAGCCTTGGCTCTGACAAAAGGGGGGGTTTTCTGCAGCGTAGTGTCTGAACGTGTGATTGAATACATGTACTGAAGGCCGGAAAGCTCCAGTGCGGAAAGCAACTTGGGCCATCCAACACTGAAGGGAAAAAACACGTCTTCCCTTTACCTAAGCCCCCGAACTGTGCGCACACCAGCCACGGCAATCTTCCAGTGACGGCACCCACGCAATCAGAGGAAAGACTAAGATTCCAGGGGTTGATTCCCCATTCTTTTCAACCCTCGTTCTTTCCAAAAATCGGCTGTTTCCCCTGGGTGTTTGATGGTTTCCTGCGAAGATTCGGATCTCTGGAAAGAATGAAAAATGGAAGGCACCCCTAGAAAGATCCCAAACACGAGCGAACGGCCTTTCAACTGGCTCCTGCAAGGACCAGATCTAGCTTCCGGGATGCCCAATGGGAGCAGCCCAGGCCAACCGCCAATGGCTCAAAGCTTGGAGGGGATGCTAGGGGCTGCTCGCGGGCCCGAAACACCCGGGGCGTTTTCCCAAAGAAACCCCCAAGCTATGCCACGCCATCGTTGTTACCCAAAACCTCGCGCAAAGCTCCGGGGCGGAGACCTCCAGGCCTTCATGGGGGGAAGACATGCCTGCGCTGCCAAGGCAACTTTTCCAAAGTGATGACCACCCGCGCCCCGCCAAACCCGGCTTCATGCAGGTGTGACCCCCCTCTGGAAGCCAGCTGTTGGCAAAGATTTGGGCGCAAAAAGTTGACGAAGCACGAAAAGCTCCCAGCGCTTGGCGCGCCAAGCGCGCGCCTTCGCGGGCTTCCCTGGCACTGTGCTCTCGGGGGGCCCACCGCCTCCCCCCCCCCTCCGCCACCGGAAGCCTGAATATCTGGCTTTCAACTAGTGGGAGGGTGGATCTTTACCATGGAACTTGACTAGGATGGTCAATCTAAAAAATGCTTTGGACGCATGTGCGCGGCACTCTGCAGAGGTTGCCGGGTGTACTTGTTCAGTCCTCTTTTGCTACCCTTCAGGAGTGGATCTCAAAAACGAACATCATTCAAACGAACCAGGCGGGCGTTTCGGGGCAACCCGTTCTGGGGCCCATGGTTGTGGAGCACAACCCCTTGTGTTGAATGCTATCACTTACTCATCGACCAAGCACAATGTCCCGCCCACAACAAAACAAAACAGGGCCGAAGGGCCTTGTAAAGCGGGCCAGCGCAGGGGGGCATCAATGAAATCCTGCCCCACCTAAGAAACATGGAATGATGACCCCCCGATAAACACCAACAAACCATGGTTTCAAGCATGGTGTCTTAGCTGGTCGTCCATCCACAGTAGGTATGCTTATTTCGGACCTCCTGGTGGGCATGAAGTTTTGGCGGGGAGTCATCTTTGCAGGTGGCTCCCTCTTAGAGCTCATAGTCATACACCCGTTTTACAGCCGGCGTTTTTTGACACCTCGAGGATCGAGAGCCCAAATTCACCCACGGACGCCCGGCTGATGTAGGGTAATTATCCAGGACCAATCTGGTCCCCCATGGGCCGACCACGAAATGTTGCGAAAACATGGGAGGCCCTGTGAACAAGTGGACAAGTCTTCCACTGAGGATGGAAGAGCTCGAGCGCTCAGAAAGAGGTGGCCACCCGCTTGCTGAAACAGGAACTTCGCTACGGTTGCTTGCAATAATATGTTCTCCCTGCAGCTTTCAGCGGGTTCTTGGCTGTCCATGATTGGGAAACCCCCCCCCCCGCAAAAAAAAAAAAAAAAAAAAAAAACAAGTCCAGCAATCCGAGGTCGACACAAACAAAAACGATCCAACCTACCTCACCTACCCTACCTACCCTACCTACCCTGCCTACCCTACCTACCCTACCTACCCCACCTACCCCACCTGCCCCACCTGCCCCACCTGCCCCACCTGCCCTACCTACCCTACCTACCCTACCTACCCTGCACCTACCTACCCTACCCACCCTACCCACCCTAAATCCAGGATCGGCTTCACCAGGAACCTCCTGATGTCCCCAATCGCTGGTACGTCCCAACCAGCCAACCCCCCCCCCCCCGCCCAGCCGGCCTAAAGCATAGCCCACCTCGCCATTCTGCCGGCGGCTTCGCACCTCGTCGGTTGCACCGCTCGACCGCGACCCAAAACGCTCGCCCAACCAGCCAAAGAGTCCATGGCCTACCGTGGATGGACGAAATCCATGTCGCACCACTTTGAAACCATGGTTGAAACCATTGCTGGTTGGTGTTTACAGGGGAATCATCATTCCAGGGCTTCTTAGGTGGTGCAGGATTGCATCCACTGTATGTGTGTGGAAAAACGCTTTCCACACCAACTCCCTTGCAACTCAGCCGACGCAACAGGTAAGTTCGAAGATATCTAAGCTGCAAAAGGAATCAAAGAGCTGCAGTTGCTCTCCACTTGCCCAGTGGCTCGGAAAACAAAGGACAAGGGAAGCCTTTCAAAAATCTTCAGATTCATTGCCCTTGCAGCAAAGGCACCTAAGTCCAGATAAAATTTCACCGACTAGATGTCCTCCAGAAAGCAATCCGAAGTCAACATGGCTGTGGGTCAAAACCAATTCCTCCGCCCAAACCTCAGCCCTGAAAAAAGAAAATCCGCCGAGGCCGAGGCCAGTCGCAGCGCCTGGCGTCTTGCGAAAAACTGGGTGGAAGCGTCACAAAGGGGAGAGCCGACCAAGCAGCGGCTACACCTGGGTGCGTCCTATTGTTGAGACACATCCCCCAAAATGGCAAAAATTGGGCTCCCTTACAAATGGGTCCCCGAAATAGCGAAAAACAAATGAAAGAGACGCATTGCACATGGGTCTTTTCCTTTTGGTTCCCTTGAATTTCACCGTAAGGGCACTCTCCACACAGCTTGGCTCCAAAAAACCACAGGCGGATTCTTACCTCACTTCTCTCAGGCGAAAGCGAGTCCGAACCTCTTGATTGACCACTGAAACGGTACGGGGCTGGAACCTGGGAGGGCATTTCATGGCTCCCTCTGCTTTCAGTAGATGGAGCAAAAGCCCAACGTGGACCAATGGATTGCAACACAGTGGGACCAACAAGGGAAAACCAAGCGCTTTGGGCAAGTGAGTGAGTGATCCTAAAAACGGATCAACATCCAACTTTTGGGAACATCGAAAACTCAAGTGTCATGAACTTGGGAACTCGAGTGTCATGAATTTGGGAACCCGCAACAAACGTCTGGACTGCCCACCAGCGACGCGCAACAATGGCTGCTGCACGAGCGCTTTTTAAATGCGCTGGCTGTATCTCCAGCTGGGCCGCCTACCCGGAGCCCATTTCAAGACAGCCTTGAGCAACAAGCCCACAGACCTCGCAGATCGAGATCCAAAGCCCCGTTTAGTAAACGCGAATCTCAAAAGCAGGCACCTATGCACCAGAGTTTCATGATGTTTCATGGATCAATACGTGGTTAGCAGTTCGTGTGCATTCTGCATATATATATACACACACACACATATATATATATATATACATATGCAGATTGAACAACAAAAAACAAACAAAAACTCTCCGGCAGTTAACCTCCTCGTCCATTCACATGGCCTGTCTCGAAACGAAGCTCCGTGCGCCGGAGCGCCCCTTGAAACGAAACGAGCCATCTGTGTCAGGGAGCCTCACGTGTCGCGTGAGACATCGGTTGGGGCTTGCACGAATTTGCCATCTGGATCATTGGCAGGGCAGCGGCACGAAAGTACCAGGGGAGGAGGAAGGGGAGGGGGAGGAGGAGGAGGAGGAGGAGGAGGAGGAGGAGGAGGAGGATGGCATGGTGGGTGGTGCTGGTGCTGGTGTTGGTGCTGGAGGTGATGGTGATGGACGATTGTCGATGGCTGGTAGGCCTCAGGTGATAGCTGATCGATAAAAGCTCGTAGAAAAGAAAAGAATTGCTCGAGCTGGTCTGCCCACCCCACAAATGTTTTGCACAATCCAGTGGACCTCCCTGTCCGCGGCTCCACATTCCCAGCCCACCAGCGGCTGAGCCCACATGTACTATGGTGCCAGGGAAAATCTAAGTCGCCCTTGTGGCCAACGCTCCAGTGACCGCGAGAAAATATGGAAAGTCTGGAGCAAAAGCATTGAATCGGAATACTCTGCTTCAACAACAACATCCTTGAAGCGCGAACTATGATGCTCACCCTTGACCATGGCACACATGCGGGAAGGATGCTGCGAATCGGTCATCCTGAGCGGAGCGCTTTACAGCTCGTCCTTCTGCCGGAGCCGGTATTCCTGGCGGGGAGGCAATTGCAGGACAAATCACCATACCCAAACTGGAAAGAAGACCTTTTGGCTGGATTTGCTTGAATCTGCCGGGGCAAATTACTGCCAGTGGTCAGGAACACCTCCTCGAGTATGGGAGAAATCCTTTGGGCGGAAGCGCCATGCGTTTGGCACAAATCGGGGAGGCCCTACACCAAAGAAGGAACCAAAAGCTGGGGCTGCGGTCCCAAAGGCCCCAGGAGGTCCTGAATGCCCGCTTCAAGGGCTCACGACAATCCTTGCTGTTCAAGAACGTGTTCAACGTTTCCGCCCTCACCGCAATCCCCGAAGCAGAGTCACTCGGTTGCTTTCTGCTCCCCTGCTAAAAGTTCAACTTTTAGTGGATTTCATGGAAACCCAATCGTTGGCAGAAGGTTAAGTCCAACATCCAAGCAAAATGCACCAAAGGTCAAAGGTTCTTCCAACGGGGGCTGCGTCTGCGTTGAAGGCTCCGGACCCAAGGCGAGCCTTGACGCTCCGCATGAGGGTCAAGCCCGCCGCTCGGATGTCCTGCACCTTTTGCTCCTGGCACTGGCGCCAGTGAGCCCCCACCATTTCTCCGTTGCCTTGAATTTCAACCACTCCTGGTCAACCCACAAAAGGCCTCCCTGTGGTCTTTTTCTGGGGCGCCAAATCTTCGCAAATGATGATCAAGCCAAGAACAAACTTGAGGAGCCCGCAAGTACGGGACCTCAATCATGGGTAGGCTCCTAGGTGAGTTGGCGATGATGTGTCCAGACCAGATACCCACTCAGCAAGGTCAACACATCTGGCCGTTCCCCCCCCCCCCGTTTTTCAGGGAGCAAAATTATCTCATTGGAGGTACGGCCAAGAACCCGGGTGAACTCACGCTGTGGATGGACGAATGGACCGAAATTTGTTTCTCTTTGAAACCACGGGAAGCCATTCTCGCTCTCCGTTCCGCACCATTGGTAAGCCGTCCACCAGAGGTGGGGTGCCAAGAGCCCATTTCAGGCAGCAACCACCTATCCGAACCCAAGTGGTACTATGGATGGTTGCGAAATCTGCTTCTCGCACCACCTAGTAACCCAACGGAATGATTCGATTCCCCAAGGTAAATACCAAGCCCAACAGTTTGGCTTCAACCATGAATTGCTGAAGCGGCCCCCTCTTGGCTCGTGACCACCTTGCGCAGCTTTTCTGAAATTGGGCATTGTCCAATCCCGTTCAAGGCGACAAGAGCACATGGCGAAACGTGCGAATGGGTGGTGGGTAAGCGGGGGGCTGTCCTAGGTGCTAGACGCTCTGGCCTTGGGCTGCCAACTAGGAGTCACTCCACTCCCCACCCACCCACACTCAACAAACAAAAAAACATAGGATGGACATTTGGGGTCCATTTTGCAACCTGCTTGCTTGGGGTACTGTTTGTTTAGGGTTCTAGGCTGGAAACGGACTCTAAGTGTCCAGGGCACCCACCAAAAACACACACACACACACAAAGAACGAAACAAACAAACAAACAAACAAACAAACAAACAAACAAACAAACAAACAAACAAACACGCCACGGCTAGAACTTGAGGTGGCAAAACTGCCACGCATCCCCACCCATTTCAACCCGAATCCATCCGATCCCAACCGGCCTTCCGTCGCTTGGCCTCCTGGTACTCCTGCTGCATGCTGTGCAGCAACTCGTTTACCTCCTGCGTGCAAAGATCGAGCAAAGACTTCGCAAGCCCAAGCAAGATAATGTTGACCCAGGATTAACAAACCCGTCCCACTATTAAGGGGGTGTTCCCTCCAAAAGTGATTCATCCCCACTAAAAGGGGACACCCCCCTATTAATCAACCAGGGGTTTATTAATCCGGGGTTAACATTACCTCAGAATTCTTCCTCCCCCAACCCGGTTTTTGGGCCCATGAACCAAAAGGTGCAATGGCTTCACGGGGAGAAGAAAAGACACACGGGGGCCAAGCCCAGACACACGGGGTCCCACAGCCGCGCAGACCCCTTCCCCGGTGTCGGTCCCGGTCTGCCGTGGCGGTCAACTCCTCCTGCCCTTTGACTTTGGCATCGAGGTCCTCTGGCCGCATCTCCATGTAGTCCTGCGACCGTCGGACCCGTCGGACCATCAAACGCCGCGATGCGGCTGTGGCACGTGCAATCCCGCCCCCCGCGTCCTTGCACGGTTCCCTATATGTCACCGTTTTGGTGAATTCTAGTTGAACCTACCGAGAATTGACCAAAAACTCCGTTGCCCAAAGGACCTGCAACTAAAAGGTTAACCTTTTGGGGCCATGACTAAATATGGACCAAAACGGAAAACCCAAAAGGTCATTTCAGGTCGATTCGCTTTGAACAACTGAGAAAAAGCAAGGACCGACCTGCGCCAGGTCGGCACCTCCATGCTCCTCGCCTGCCCGATGCCCGAGGCCCCCGCTCCCCGCTCCCGGCATCGCAGGCCTGGATCTGGCGCTGGGTGAAGGCGTCGCAGGCCTCCAAGCGCTGGGGCCCGCAGGTGGGGCGCAAGTCCTGGCGCGCTTTCGGATCTTTCGGCGCGGGGGGAGGGGGGAAGAGGGGGGAGGGGGGGAGGTGAGGAGGTGGGGCGGGGGAGGGGGAGGGCGGGGGAGGGGGGGGACAAGAATGGCGATACCCGCTGGGGGGCAGTCTTTGCTCAAGCATCACCCAAATACCAGCTTCAGGATCCGCATGCTTGCAACAGAGGGTGGGTTTGCGATGTATCCTTACACAAAGAAAAACTGAGAAAGCCAAAAGTATTGTTTGATGCGGACCTTGCTTCAGTTTCACCGCCACTTTACCTCATTTACAATGGGTATGGTTGGGAGGACTTGCCGAAGCCCGAACCTTCTGCCTCAAAACCCGAGTCCGGACCCGAAAAAGATCGAGCCACCCGAGCTTGGAGACTTGGAGCGGCTTGATGTTCGGCATTTCGTTGGAAAGAGTTGGAGCCCCACCTCGGAAATGGTATCTTACACTTGCATGTGCCTGAGTCCACTGGAAAAAATAACACCTGTGTCCAGTAATGATGGATTCCCTTAAAACCAACAGGGGAAAATAATATATACATATATATACAGTATTAAGCAAATGGTGCTTATGCAATAAACTTCGGGCGTCGAAGGCGGGCCACCTTGATCCCATCATCGGAAATTTCCCTTCATCGAACACATCACAGGGCAGGTGGAAGACCTGGTACGCCTTCTGGAGAACCAACAGGTTGCCTGCTGCAGGTTGGAAAGTGGGAAGCAAGCACTCGAATGGGCATGGGTCAAAATCCCGTACCCCCAGTGAACAGCCCAATCCCCATTAAACTAGACTAAAATGGGTACCATTGTTTTTGACCCACAGCGTCCGAGTCACATCCCGGCGGAAGTAGACGTCCGCGCCGGCCGGACACCCCCAAAGCTCCATCTCCGCCAGCCAGCCCGCACGACACCCCCCCCGTTCCTGCGCGAACTTCTGGAGGGTGGGCAGGTCCCGACTACCAGCATAGTCCTGGCCACTTCCGGGACCCACAGCGCTTGACACTTGGTCTAGCTTCTGGGGGCCCGCGTGGGGCGGAGACAGAGGAACAAATTCGGGGCCAACGCGGGCTCAAAGGGAAGACAACAGGAAAACCACATTTATGTCTTATCTTCTTTCCTTTTTTTCTGGGGGGGGCATCTCCCCAAACCATCGACCCCCGACTTGGATTCAGCCGCACATGCCACTTCTTGGAGTTGTTCAGTGCATGCACCAAACGCGCAGCGCGGCGCGAGCCGAGTAGTGTCAAGGCTGAGGCGGGCGGGCGGGGTCCTTTTGGTTCGTTTCCGGTGGCTGTGGTTGAAATGGAATCCCTTCTGTAATGCAACAAGGCCTCCCAAAGACTAACCCATATAAAGGGGGAGACTCCAACGAAGGTATCACAGTGGGAACAAAGACCTTGATCCCGCAACCCTGTTTCCGGCCCGGTTGCAGCAGGACTTGTCCAATCCGACCCGGATTTGGGATTTGGGGGTCATCCTTGGAATCACTCGACGGTCCTCCAGGTGGTCGGGGTTCCCATGCCTGGCGAACCAGAGGCGCCCGAGCGAATGGCTCTCATGCTGAGAGAATGGGTCCATGAGGGCGAAGCAGTTTTAGGAAACCACTGGCACCACAAAAAACACCTGGGGGGCAGAAGATACCCGCAGAACCCCTCGCACTGTCCACTCGCTTCAGAACAAAAAACAACGACACCTTACTAGGGCCAAGCCTTCCTCGTTTTCCCCGCCTGACCTCTGGGTAGCCCTTGACACCCAGCTCCTTGCACTTGGTCTTGCCACTGCCGTCGCAATCCACCTCCGCCACCAGCACAAAGTCGTGGTCCGCGAACTCCTGTGGAGCTGACCCTCCTCTCCCGCAACCCCTTCCAACCATAGCCCGGCACTAGACCTTATTCCAGCCACATGCGGAACAAGGAGAGAAAGGGCAGAGATCCTTTACAAGCCGCCAAGTCGTGAGATCTCAAAGGGAATGGCACGGGAGGTGTCCTGCAACTACCTTGGCGACAGAATGCATGCCCAGAAAACCACTCCCACCTGAAATGCGCCTCAAACCAACCGCTTCTTCTCTGCCATAAATATGTGTAGACATATACAAATACATATACATGTACATATGCATATACATATACATATACATACATATTCATGTATATACCAGATTTAAAAAAAAAAAAAACTGCCCCATTGGGTTGAAAGTTAAACCTGTATGCAAAAGGCATGCCCTGACTCCTTAAGAACTTTCCTGCTCAAACCTCTTCAGCCTGAAGCTGATTCGAAACAAGGCATAACTTTGGCCCCGCCCATGGCTGAAAGCTCGGTGCTCCTTGATCCAAACCCATTGACTGGCTGGAAACTTATGTTGACCCCAATAATCAACCCCTGTTCATTAATATGGGGGGTGTTCCTCTCCAAAAGTGATAAATCCCCACTAAAACTAGGGACACCCCCCCCATTAGTACGCAGGGGTTGTGAATATGGGGTCAACATCAGGAAAAAGCCTCCGAGAACCCTCCGCCCGCCCTGAAAGCCCCCTGAGCTGATTTGGGCGGAGGCCTCACAGCTTTCAGCTAAGACATGTCTGCACCTTGCGAGCCCTTGCAAAACATGAGGACAACACTCGCCCTCTAACCAGCATGGTTTGGAGCACGGTCAACCCGCTTTGGACTGCTATCCTTGGAACAGGGGGCACAAAATCTCGCGAGCGCGAAACCATGTTTTTGCGCACAGGAGGACACCAAACGAAATGTGGTCGCGCACCGCGTGCGTCCTCTGTGAGCTTGTCCCAGGCCGGCTTCATGTCTTTGCAGTGGCCACACCATGGGGTCTGGGCAATCCGACGGTCCGGCGGCAATGATAAGGACAAGGGCAGCAAGAGCAGCCCAACAAAAGCGAGGACGACGAAATGGACGGGGACAAGGAAGGGTGGCAAGGACCAGAACCAGCACAACCATGACGAGAATAAGGGAGCAAAAGGAAAAAGGATGCCACTGCTGCTTGTGCCCTTAAATTAGGATGCTCGTATTTGACAAGCTTCGGCACAACGGATGATCATGGCACACCGCCTTCCACCATCGGAAGCACATTCATCCTAAACAACCCATCATGCAGGAGCTAACAACTCAAACCTTGCAGATCCGAAGACTTCGATCCCAACTACTGTATCACTTTCTAGGGTTTCCCCTACCAGGTCCTCCAGTAGAGAGGGTAGAATAAGGGTACCCTTTTTTTCTGTAGTCTATGATAGGGGAACCCTCCCCAAAAAAAAGAGCTAGCCTAGCATAGACGAACAGAATGCTACTGGCCCTTGCCCTCCACACGTATCCAAGGACGAGTCACCCCAAACCTGAGGAACAACGTCTTGCCGGCCGTCTCCTCCTGTCGGGGAGTGATTGGCCCAAGCTGGGCCCGTAGAGAGAGAGAGAGAGAGAGAGAGAGAGATGGGAGAGAAAGAGATCTATCTATCTGTTACATGCAACACGCAGGTGTATGTCAAAATGGAGAGGGCAAAACTGGGCGGCCAATTTTTTCTCCCTTGTAAACCACTCCCCAAAAGGGTGCCCCGAGAAACGGGAGAGAAACAAAAAAAAGAGCAGAAGCTCCGACCTTCCAAGCGCTCCTCCCAGTTGGCTTTCGTGAGCTCCTTCGCCTGGACACATGCCACCCAGATCGCCAGGCAAGCCGCCAGCCATGCGCCGGCGCTCGAAGCGGCGCCCGAAGCGGCCCCCATGGCGTCGCCCCGGCCGACCCGAAGCGGCGGGCAGAGGGGCAGGTCTGGGGGCCACTGGTGCTGAGCTGAGCTGGCCATCTGGAGGGGTGTTGCCATGGCATCGGCTTTTGAAACTCCAGCGCCGTCCTTTCTTAACCCAACCTGTAGCTGAGATCCAAAAGGGCCCCTTAAGGAGCCAAGATGGCCACTCAACACCCGAGATTCTCGCAAGCTCGGCGCGCTGAGGCAAAAAAACAAAACAAAAACGCGCAACTCAGAGCCTCATGTTTTGTGAACGTGGCCAGAGCCCCTCAGAGAGTCACCCAGGTGACAAACAACCTCTGTTTGGCGGGCGTGGATATGAGGATCCCAACTGCGGATCCGTCTCTTTCTTGAGCCAAGTGCCGCCCGAAAAGCGCTGAAACCAATGGAAGCGCAGACCGCTGCCGGGTTCCGGTTCCGCCCCTTCAAACACCGAAACGATTTGCCCCGAAAATGAGTTCGCCCTGAAGGATTGAACAATTCTCAGTCACCACCTCCATTTGCGTTTTCGTCCCCTGGAAAAAATGAGAAAATCATTCCAGTAGTGAAATCTATTCCCTTTAACACCAACAGGGGAAAATAAAACATATTCATTTCACCAAATGGAAGAATCACCATGTCTTCGGGACATGCTCTTTTGATTCACATGGAGCCCAAACAGCTGCCACCTGGGCACCCCGAAATTCGGGCTCTGCTGATTTACTGGGTGCCGTCCCAAGCCCTTCCTCCTGGCACCCTGCAAGGGTGCCGTCAATTGGTACCCAAAAATGGCAACCGCACAAGGGCACATGAGTCACAATCAAAGCCTGGCATTAAAATGATCGACCCAGAACCATTTAAAGAATTAAGAAGACGGCCGCAGCTATTTATGCCTGGGATCGTCCCTTACTAACCTTCACTTACCCGGGTTTTGATTGTGGCTCGCATGAGGACAAATGGGCAACCCTTGGAGGGCGCAGGTGCTTCAAATTCGCAGGACTTGGAGGGTGCAGGTGCTTCAATGTTTTGGTGGCTTGGCTTCACATTTGGAACAAAAGAGATGAGAAAGAATGCTGTGCGGACGAGTGCTGAGTTGGAGTTTTCGCTCTGGCAGTTCTTCAGGCATTCCAAGCTGCTGGCAAGGTTGGTCCCCATCCCCATGACTTGAACTCACTTCAAAAGGGGGACCCCGTTGGCCTCTCACAGAAAGTCCCAACCTAAAACTCTATCCTCCAGTGGCCATGATTGAAAGAGATGGCACTCCTTGGCAGGGTCGATTTTGCAAGGCACCCCGCGAACCAACCAAAACCAACACCGCGGCCAACCCTCGTTTCTGCCAGCGCCCTGGATGGCGATTCGCAACGCGCGCAGTGGCGCGTTGGCAACGGTCCTTGAGCCTGCCCTGGTCGCAAGGCTCAGCTAAAGCCGCTTGGGCCCCTGCCCCAAAAATCAGGAAAAAGCCCTGGACATCCAATCCATCTGCAAATTGGTTCCAGAAAAACCACACTGCAAACCACATTTAAAACCCTTTCTGGGGAGCGGGATTCATTCTTTGAACACGGGCTTCTGAATGGGCAGAGGCCGCTCAAAGCGGCAAGAGCGATGGGGAAGTTCTCAAGGTGGGACCCCCCCTTCAAAGTCACACAGAGAGAAAACCCTCCCCGATCCCAGGCGGGGCTTAAAGAAAAAAGCGAAACTCCGATTTCTCAGGCGTGTTTTCTTTTTTCAGAGATTGGGTGCGGGGTACCTCCAACTTCGACCCTGGCCAATCCGGCCAAAGAGCCAAAGAGAACTCCCACCTCGCTCAAGGTCAGCTCAGAGTCTCAGAGCTCACTCTTGGAGCTCTTGTGGGCCTGGCCGCGCGACCTTTTCTAAGCGGGTGGCGGGTGGCCCCAAGATGGAAACTTAAACCCAGAGGGTCTCCTTTTGGCTTTTGGACAAAAACCACCCCTGGGTGTAAGTCTACCTTGAAATTGTCAAAAAGTGGAGCCCTGCTTGGGGGTCTGTTGCTCCAAAAAGTGCCGCGTCTCTCGCGCAAATGCGGCCAATTCCGAGGTCAAAATTCCACCAAACGGGACCTTCATCGCACATATGTCGCCCCCAAAAAGAACTGAGGGCGGGGGAGGCAGAATCTCCAAGTGACCGCAGAGTCACCGTCCGGTTAGAGCTTGTTGAAAGAAATGCTGGCCACAACACTTCCTGCACCCTGCCGCTCTCCAACAGCCTATCATCAGATCTGGCACTCACACGTTGAGACACGAGCTTCTTGTACCCAGCTCTGTTTGATGCGAGCGCGCTGCCCAGGGAGCGCCACTTGAGGGCAAGCGAAGCCCAAAGCAAGGCAAAAAAAAAAAAAATGACCTCATGCAAAAGAACTCGTTGAGCCTTGGCCAATAGGTGAAATCCCCACAAACATCGATCGGCTCACGGCCACACCTTCAGTGAAAATGGAACACTTGGCTCAGAGTTGTTGCATTCCAACTCGCCACTCGGGTTCGTCCTTCGCTCCCTACGGATCCTACGGCGCTTGCTGATGCTAAAATACGGAGGGAAGGAGACATGGAATGAACCCAAGAGAAACCATCCAACTGGCCGTTTCCTTTAAGGGGACCAAGGCCTGGGGTTCCTTCGACCACATAATGAGGGAATGACCCCAAGAAAACCATCCCCTGTGGTTTCCTTTCAGGGGACCAAAGCCTGGGCTCAGTCAACCGCATCCCCTACCTATCGCCCATCCCATCCAAATTTCCAGACCGACCCGATCCATGCCTTCACGGACTTCATCATGCCCAGCCCGGCGTCCTTGATGTCCTTCTGCTTCTTCTCCTTGGCCTCGCCGTGCCGAAGAAAAAAGAAGAAACGAAAACGCGTCTCAGGTGTTTTTTTTTGGGCGGTGGGGAGGAGGGGGGTGTCTCGTTTTTTTTTTTTTTGCGGGTGGAAGGGGGGGGGGGGGGGTGGCGGAGAAAAACCAGAAGACATGAACTACCCATGAATTTCCCAACCAAAACCAGACTTTCTGCCAGAAGGTAAATACGGAAGTTCCTCACCAAAACATTGAGTTGGTGTTGGCCTTCGCGCCTTGCCCAGGCGCATCTTCTTCTTCGCATCAATATTCTTGGCATGTTCTCGCGCTTGCGTGTTTGGCTCTGCTTTTTCTTTTCTTTTTTTTTTGGGGGGGGGGGGTTGCTGTTTTCGGAGACGGAGACAGGCAAGAAGACACGAGTCAGGAGTCAGGAGCACCTTCGTATTTGTTGGTACAGCTTTAAAGCACCTGAAGGAAACCACCCAGCGTGACGCATGGACCAACCCAAGGTCCAACCCAAAGGTCGAAAAGGAAGCCGTCGGAAGGAATCGCAACTCAGAATTCCCATCCGTCGAAAGGATGCCGAAACCCACCGATCGGCAGTTTGACTACATTTGGGCAAACATCTTTGCTGTTGCTTCAGGGTTTTGTGTAAGTCCATATCCCTTTCCCAACTAGTCGGGACAGGTCGCCTGTTCCAACGACTCACCCATTTCTCTTGAGCACCCCCCAAAATCAATGGCTTCCTTTTGGTAACCCTTTTGCCTGTATTGAAACAACATGGCTGCCAAACACATCCGCGGCATGTGATTCATCAAATCCTGGCCGCCTCCCAAACCGAAAAAAAATGGCTCCTCCCCCCCGCCCCAAACCAAACAAAAAACACTGGCTTCCTTGTGCCCCCTACTTTTCACCCCCCTACCCCCCCCCCCCCCCCCAAGCCAAACAAAACCTACATGGATGGATCGATCCGCGCCTCCGTGGCCTTCTCGTACTGAGCCTGCAGACTCTTCAGCAGCTCCTGCAGCTCCTGGTCTGCGGCCTCGGACAAAGCCTCCTGCTCCTTGATCTTGGCCTCCAGGTCGCCTGCGGGGTTTGGGGGTGGCGGGTTGGTGGGGGGAGGTTGGGGGGTGGGGGGGTTTGGGGGTTTGCTTTGCCTTCAGTTTCCCCTTCAAACGACCGTTTTGTTTGAGGCGCGCCTCATTTTGTCTGACACATTGGGTTGCTCCGAAACGATGCGGAGCCCCCAAACAGGGCAGCTCTGAAAAATAAGTCTGCGCGGGGGTTGAGGTCCTTTTCCTGTGCCTTTTTTTCATGTATTTGCTCTGTCCAGCTCGGTTTGCGGCACCTCCCACAAGCTGGGTGGCTTTCTGCTGGCCATCCCCAGCCCCCAAAAACAATTAAACCTGCCCATTCCTCAAAAAGAAAACAAAAAACCGAAGAGACTAAACCAAAAAAATAGGAGCGGCATGCCCTGAAATACCCTGAAGTCGCGGGTCGAACTGCTGCCAAGCAGCCCATCGGCATAGCCATGAACTTCTCCAGCAGCTTCTTCTTTTCCTCTGCGCTTCGGGGTGAGTTGGTTTCGACCCAGCTGCGCCAAACATCTGGGTGAATTATTAACCTGAAATAAGGTGGTCGCGGGCGAGTCGCAGGGCTATTTTCCCCGCATAAACCACCATTTGGGGTGAGGTCGTGTGAAGTCGGTTTGATTCACTCAGAAACATACCAGGACTAAGCCAAGGCAAATGGCAGCTTTGAGAATGTGTTGGTGGACAAGCTATATCCCAGGGTGATGCTGCTAGCAGCTACTTATTTGCAATCTGCGCTCAAAGTTGATTTGCGGTGGCAAAGCGAGCAGGTTGAACAAGTTCCTGCTGCAAGCCTTAAAACAACAACCTAACAGCATATTCGAAGTTCCCAAGCGCATGATTCATCAGAGGTTTTTCACCATCCACCTAAACATTACCCGCCGCCCCAAACAAAGAAACCTTTTTGGTATGGTGGACAGGGCCATGTTTTGAATGTCCGATTGGGAATGTGAACAATCGGGGAACTCCCAATTGGCGGTGTTCCTTTCCGGTTTCCCAGTAAAAGAAAGAAAAAACACCCACAAAATGGGCACCGAACCTCGACAACACACACACACACAATCACTCTGTACATATGTATATATATATATATATATATGTAATATCATATTCAATAATATGTATATATATATATACATGTATGGTTGGAGCCATCTCTTCTCGAAGTATCATTTCTGGGTTGGTTCGAACCCCCGCAACCCCGACACCCCAGCCGAAGCAGCCGCTTTTCGCCCCTTCCCCGCCTCATCGCAGAGGTCCATGTTCTTGGGGCCGCAGGTGGGGCCAAGGGACTCCTGGCCCGATCCAAGTAGCGGGCCTGGTTGATGTGGGAGGGCTACGAGGGACATCCGCAAGCGTCGATTTTTTAATTTGTGTTTTCCCCTCGTATTTTCGCGCCACGAAATGAAGCTCACTGGCTGAGTGGATGGCCCAACAAAAGTAACCGATCTTTATATTTACCACTAAAATGGTCTTCCCAAAAAGTTTAAAGTGCATGAACTGAGGCAGTGAGGAAGCCGTGGTTGAAACGAGATTTGCAAGTTGCTACGGTACTTGCAGGGGAATCGCATCGTTCCACAAATTTTTAGGTGGTGCGAAATGGGCTGCGCCCCATCCACAGCGGGTGTCCTCCTTGGGAATCTGTGGATATCCGGATCATTTTTGGAGGGAACACCGAAAAAATGGGACAGGGGGTTACACATGCCAAGTTGAGATTCAGCAGCAACCTCCAAAACCAACCCCAGAGATCCGCAAACCACCAAAGCGTTCTGGGTGCATTGAGGCCTCCCATATTTTGACACACCACCCTGGGAGATGCTCTTGTGGAAAGCCCCGTCAGACCCTTCTGGAGACCAAAAAAAGGACCGAAGAGTCCCGCCCCCCCCCCCTGTTGACCCACCAAACCCATGGTTGATTCTTGATTAGCAGGCATGAGGAGTCACCCCTCATGTGCGGAAACAACAACCCTCGAATCCAAGGAGAAATTCATGTCGACATGATGATTCGAGGAACGCCGCAAGGGAACTTTGGCCCTCTCGGAAAAATATACGCCTTTCTTAGGCATGAAAAGCCTAGGATCGGCCTGTCTAGTGGGCTCCCAGCATGCCTCCTCTGAAAGCAAGGCAAGGGAATCAACTCAAAGGCTGCCAACTCCCCTCCCCCCTCCAAGGAAAAAAAAAACGCCAACTCCCGGCAACGACTCCCCCGCTTCCCCGCTCCAGCCCATCCCCCCCCGCCCCCCGCAACTCCCAGCAACAACCAGCCCATGCCCCCGTCCCCCCGCCACCCTCCCAGAAAAAAAAGGACCGCCAACTCCCAGCCCATTCCATCTACCCCCTCCCTCCCCCCTCCCAGAAAAAAAAGGCCCGCCAACTCCCAGCAACGACCAGCCCAGCCCATTCGCCTTGGTGAAGCTGCTGAGGGCATCAAAGTCCCGGCCGCCCTTGTAGTCCTCCATCGCATGGGGGTCCCCATACCTCGGGAGACACTCGGCGAGCGCTTTGTTTTCGCGGTTGCCCGCAAGCAGAGAAAAAATACGGATGGCTCGCCAAGACCTTTGTTTTCCCCCAGAAGGCAAGCATGCGACGGGGCTCGCCAAGACCTTTTTTGCCCCAGAAGGCAAGCATGCGACGGAAATGGGGGATACGTTGGGTAAGATTTGTTGACCCGAGACTGGTCGGGTATAAGCCGAGGGTTCGTCTCTCCTATTGCCTTGGAAGGGAGGAGTTAAACACATCCTGAGGCTGTTTCTATCATGTCCGGGCCTATTTATTTTCAGCGGCATGGGGCTTCGAAAAACAATGCTTTTGCTCCCGAAATGAGCCACCCAAATCCTCCGGTTGATCAGTAGCCATATTCGAGCAAGATCGCTCTAGAACACAGCTTTGCCCTCACGGAAACCATGTCGAGCGTGGTGCGGGTGATGAGCAAGACTGCAAGGTGATCAAAGTCATGCGAATTTCTGTTCTGGCATGTCACCTGCAAACACAAATGCCCTGCCAAAGAGAGCTCAAGGACAATTGGCCCACGTGGTTCAACCCCCCAAACCGCGAAGTACCCTGACATTGTGCGATCCGTTTGGTCTTGAGGCAGGGTCTCATGACATCTGCAAAATATACAAGAATTCCATCCAACACCTCAAGTAAGGCATCCTCTTTAAAGGATCTACATCGCAGTGAGCTCGTTTTGCCTTTAGGTGAGCTCGCCATACAGTAGGCAATGACATGGCAGTGAATGGTAGTCTGCTATTGGCTTGCCAAATTCCCTGCAAACACCAGGGGAAGCCGGGCCCCAATTTCCCCTTCCCCCATCTCCATGCCGAAAGGCTTGATGGTCGGAAAGCCCTTAACGCCCACCTCGTCGCACATGCTCTTGCCCGTGCCGATGCAGTCCACGTCCGCCACCAGGATGTCCTTGTCGCCTTTGTACTCCTTTGCGGCCGTGGCTTCTTAGGGCACCCCGAATCACGAACTCCGAGGGCGAATCGCAACAAGCTTGGCTGACTTTGGGCATGTGTCAAAATGCTGTGGATGGGCAAATCCTGCACCACTGGAAATTTCCCCGTGAGCTAGTGGTTCGGCGGGGTAGCGGGCAGCTTCTAGATTCACACGAGGCTGAAGCATTTGACCTCCTACGGGCCCAGCTACCATCCAACAGCAACTAACACAAGAGAAGGCGCAAGAGACAAACACAGGCAGTCGGAGTGCAAACCACCTTGCGACAAGCGCCACCACCAGCCCGCCCACCTGCCCACCGCCCACCTGTTTGGCGCAGCCCGTCCCCATTGAGCCAACATTCAAAAAGGTTGCTTCCATTTGCCTTAAGTCCCCCGGAAAAAATTGAAGGAACCTGTCCAGTAGTTGCCTGTAGTGGAACTGATCCCCTGTAAAACCCGGAGAAACAAAGTAACAACTCTTAAGCCAATGGAAGGTCGGCTCGGAATGGCAGTCCTCCATCAGCTTGTCCCAAGCTGGCTTCATGGTCCTGAGCTGTCCACATCTGGGCAGATCCACATCTCTACTCTTTTGGTAGCGAAAAGCTGACTGTTTTTTGCAGACCCCCAGTAAAAATGAACAGAACCAAAAAACTATTTAAAAAAAAATGATCCAAGAACAGTGAAGTTAAAGGATACATTCCAAACCCCTCATCTACAAATTATTCTTAGTGGCGTCCCTACCCAAATAGTTGTTCTTGTCTCCTCGAACCCTCCCCTCTGATTAAAGGTATACCTGGCAGAAAGGGGCTTTCCTTTTTGCTTCGCCTTTGCTTGGTCTGTTCTTAAATTGAACCTCTCAAGTTTCCCCCAAACCCCCAAAATGCCGGCAAGGTCTTCAAGCTCGCAACCGGCAACCCCCCTTGGAGGCCAGCCCCCCCTCATGAACTGAAAATTTCCCCCCGAGATTAACCAGGGCCCTTTTGGGCTTCAACCTAAGAAACTGCTGTTGCCTATTACCGTCCTATTGCTGGAAGGGGCCAGAAGTAAGAGGACCACCGAAGTGGCTCGACATTCATCAGGGGACTTGTCCTCACCATCTCAGCTTCGGGGACTTGTCCAAAGCTGGTCAACCTTGAAGGGGAAAGGGGGGAGGTTTACTTATCAGGGGGAACCATTCCGCAACTGAATGAAATGTCACATGTCGACCGCTTCACCCCGTTGCCAGCGAGGCCAATCACGACCACAAAACCGTGGTAAACTAGGGGGAAAACCCATACTCAAGCGCAAACCCAGGAGGCAAACTCGGGGGAAAGTTCGACTCCACCACAAAGCCATGGTAAACTAGGGGGAAAAACCCACACTCAAGCATACGCCCGACTCCACCACAAAACCGTGGTAAGCTAGGGGGAAACCCATAGTCAAGCACAAACCATGCACCACACAGCCATGGCAAACTAGGGGGGAAAACCCCAGCAAAACCATGAGGCAAACTCGGGGGGAAGGCCCGACTCCACCACAGGACCATGCTGATCGCATCAAAATTGGTCGGTCCACACGCTTGGCTTCCTCGCCAAAAAAAAAAAGAGCATCCATCGCCATCCCCTTTGCAGTGACCAAGGCGCTTGCAATGGCCGCACCAAGGCGCCTGGAGCAAGCCCAGCTCGGGCCATTTCGGCCGGTGTGAGTGTGGTGGTTAGCCCGGGGCCCCGGCGTTCGGAAGGTTGGGGGGGAGGGAGTGGGGGTTTCGTGGTAGGTGGGTTGGTGGGGAGGGGGGGTGGGGGGGTTGGGGGAGAGAGGGGTTGGGGGGAGGCGGTTGGGGCCGGGGGGGCCACTGATGGCTCGGCACTCAAAAATGGCCATACTTTTCACTTATTTCTGACCATACGCATTTTGCTTATATTTGTCCATCAACTTCCCTTACTTATGACCATGGAATTCACTTACTTGTGACCAGGCGACCAAAGTATCATGCTTCAAGCACCAGGAGAAAGTGCCACGCTGCCATCACTTCCCTTATTTATGACCATGGAATTCACTTACTTGTGACCAGGCGACCAAAGTATGCTTCAAGCACCAGGTGAAAGTGCCACGCTGCCATCGCTAGTCAGTCAGGTGTCTATGACCGGGAAGGTGTCGAGCAATGACCGTGAAGGCTGCGGGGAAAGACCGGGAAGGCCTCAAGGAAGCAGCAAAGACTGGGAAGACCCTGGAGAAGACAGGGAAGGCGTCCAAAAAAAACCGGGAAGGCTGGCTTTGCCATCGAGCATTCAGTGCGTTTGTCACAAGCGCACTGCATGTGTCAGATCTATGCAGACCCATGACCTGCGGCCGCGCCGCTTCTGCGGCTGGGGTATTTCTGTGGCCTCCTGGGGTCGGGGAAGGGGGGGGGTCGCTGACTGCTTCGGAAACTATGCTTCGGAATCTGGCTGTGGAAAGTATGCTCCAAACATCAGGAGAAAGTGCCACGCTGCCATCGCTAGTCAGTTAGGGGTCTATGACCGGGAAGGCGTCGAGCAATGACCGTGAAGGCTGCGGGGAAAGACCGGGAAGGCCTCCAGCAAGCAGCAAAGTCTGGGAAGACCCTGGAGAAGACAGGGAAGGCGTCCAGGAAGGACCGGGAAGGCTGGCTTTGCCATCGAGCATTCAGTGCGTTTGTGACAAGCGCACTGCGCGTGTCAGATCTATGCAGACTGCTGGCGGACCGAAGCCGGAAATACGCCCAGCCAAAGGCCCAGGTGGGCAACCTGGAGTGACGCTGCGGACAAAAGACCGGGCAAGTCTAGCCACAGCCAGGACCGGGGACCGGGAAGGCGTCGAGCAGTGATCGGGCCTCGAGCAAAGACCGGGAAGGCTGCGGGAGAAGACAGGCGCTGCCATCGCTAGTCAGTTAGGTGTCTATGACCGGGAAGGTGTCGAGCAATGACCGTGAAGGCTGCGGGGAAAGACCGGGAAGGCCTCAAGGAAGCAGCAAAGACTGGGAGGGAAGGCGTCCAAAAAAAACCGGGAAGGCTGGCTTTGCCATCGAGCATTCAGTGCGTTTGTCACAAGCGCACTGCATGTGTCAGATCTATGCAGACCCATGACCTGCGGCCGCGGCTGGGGTATTTCTGTGGCCTCCTGGGGTCGGGGAAGGGGGGGGGGGGTCGCTGACTGCTTCGGAAACTATGCTTCGGAATCTGGCTGTGGAAAGTATGCTCCAAACATCAGGAGAAAGTGCCACGCTGCCATCGCTAGTCAGTTAGGGGTCTATGACCGGGAAGGCGTCGAGCAATGACCGTGAAGGCTGCGGGGAAAGACCGGGAAGGCCTCCAGGAAGCAGCAAAGTCTGGGGAAGACCCTGGAGAAGACAGGGAAGGCGTCCAGGAAGGACCGGGAAGGCTGGCTTTGCCATCGAGCATTCAGTGCGTTTGTGACAAGCGCACTGCGCGAGTCAGATCTATGCAGACTGCTGGCGGACCGAAGCCGGAAATGCGCCCAGCCAAAGGCCCAGGTGGGCAACCTGGAGGGACGCTGCGGACAAAAGACCGGGCAAGCCCAGCCACAGCCAGGACCGGGGACCGGGGGAGAAGACAGGGAAGGCGTCGAGGAAGGACCGGGAAGGTGTCGAGCAGTAACCGGGAAGGCCCCGGGAGAAGACCGGGAAGGCGTCGAGCAAAGACCGAGGACCTGGGAGAAGACCGGGAAGGCGTGGAGCAAAGACCGAAAAGGCCCCAGGAGAAGACCGGGAAGGCGTCGAGCAATGAGTCGAGCAAGGCTTCGGGAGCAGACCGGGAAGACGTCGAGCAATGACCGGGAAGGCTGCGGGGAAAGACCGGGAAGGCTGCCGGGAAAGACCGGGAAGGCGTCGAGCAAACACCGGGGAGAAGACAGGGAAGGCGTCCAGGAAGAGCTCCTTGGAGGTCTCCACGCCTACTGTCTCCCAGCTCAGAAGCCCTTGTCTCAAAGTCGCAGTAGTCTAGCAAGAACGCTCGTAGAGGCTGCGCGGTGAGCCGCCCATTCTTCTTCGGCAGGGAAACGTCCGTGAACACGACCGGCTGTTTGCTGTGCGCGTGCGCTCGTGTGCGACGCGCCTGCGCGCGTGCTCAGGTGCGTCACAGTCTGTGCGCGTGTGTGTGTGCCTGCATGTTCCTCGCGCGCTGGCCGCTTCGGTATGTCGCCAGCCGGGCGCTTGAGAGCTTCTCGCTTCACGCAGCTACGGTTACAATCTCTAGAATGAGATGCTCTAAGCCGCCAAATCTTGCGGGACATACATTAAGATATATGTCAAAGGTGCGCGCGTGCAATTGAAGCACTCAGCTATTCTCAGCAGACTCAAGCAGCCTGCCCGCCACTGGCTGCCGTCACTCTAGCGCACATTCGAGGGCGCGTGGGATCAGCGCAGGCGCGCGTGTTTTTGCGCTCCGAGCCGGGCGCTTCCCCGCCTCGAAATCGCAAACTGCCCAGGCGATCGTGCTGACCTTCCCCCCGCACTTCTGCCACGCTATGGGGTCACTCTGCTGACTGAGCGCCTGAACGCCCAAGCTGCGGCGCGAGTCCCTTCTTTTGATTTTTTTTGCAAGCTGCGCAAATGAACGCCTAATGCGGTCTCATCCTCATCCTGCGCAACAAGTCTGAGCAGTCCTGGTCGCTGACCAGGAGCCCCTGGCGTCCTGTGCCTGAAGAGGAGCCTGCGGCGTCCTGATTTATAATCTGCATCAGCAGCTAACTTCTCGGAGCCCTAGGCGGGCGAGCCTGATCTTGAGTGGCAAGCCTGCGGCGTGAAACGCGCTGTGCACCAGAGCAAGAAGCAGCCTACAAGCTGCCTACCTGCGCTCCTGTCTGCTTGCCTCTGCCTGCCTTGCTGACAGTCCCCGAACACCTCGGTATGGGCATTGATGCTTCCCCGAGCGACGTGACCTGCTGACAGGCAGTGGGAGAAGTTCTGGATGCTGCTTGAACCTTCTTGCCGCCATCAAAGCAAACACTTCTCTTTCTTTCAGCACTGCTTTGGTAATCCATTCTGCGTTGCCAGCGCTGAGTCGCGCATCTGGCGGGCTACCGCTCTCCGATCGCAACAGGCCCAGCAGTCGCATCGCTCCATCGGCAAGACAAACAGAGGAGTTTACGTCTTCGCAGCGTCGCTGTCGGACCACCCTCCAAGAACATCATCATTCCGTGCTGCGAGTAAAATCTGCTAATGTGCGGCTGCTTTTGTCTCTGGTGCATCGCCATTTTTGAAGGCCCGGCCGCAGCACCTGGGCACAAATTGTATCCCATCACGCGAGCCTGCAGCCACTTGTCCTGCTAAGGATTTCCCGCACACGATGCGTGAATGTAGAAGGGGCTTCCCCGCGCTCCGCAGATGTAGTATTAGATTCGTGAGGCGTTCGGGGGCTCCTGGCGCTAGCGCCACGTCTGAGGCTTCTTCACTCATCCCTGCAATGTACGGCATCCAGCAGTCACCTGTGCGACTGGCTAGCTTCAGCCTTTTGTCCAGCAAGGTGCATGTCGCTCGAACTTCTGCAAGGCCATAACACACTTATGCCGTTGTAGGCAGTCTTGCCGCGTCTTCAGCGCAGGGTCTCCACGCCTGCTGTCTCCCAGCTCAGAGGCCCTTGTCTCAAAGTCATTGATTGCCTGCGTGCGCAGTCGTCTAGCAAGAACTCTCGTAGAGGCTGCGGGAAAAGACCGGGAGCCAAGACCGGGAAGGTTCGGGAGAAGACAGGGAAGACGTCGAGCAGTGACCGGGAAGCGTCGCGCGAAAACCGGCAAGGCCCCGGGAGAAGACCGGGAAGGTGTTGCGCAATGGCCGGGAAGGCAGAAGACAGGGAGGTGTCCAGGAAGGACTGGGAAGGCGTCAAGGAAAGACCGGGAAGGCCCCGGCCCGGCAAGGCTACGCAGGTGGGTGAGCCTGCTTAAGAAGGAACCTTTGGCGTCCTGAGTTGCGCTATGAAGAAGGAGCCTTCGGCGTCCTGATCTTGACCGGCAAGCCTGCGGCGTCTTTAAGCGCCAAGCGGCCAAGCCGGCTTTGAGGAGGAGCCTTCGGCATCCTGAAGTTCAAGTGGTGCGTCCTGTGCCTGAACAGGAGCCTGCGGCGTCCTGATTGATGTTCTGCATCAGCAGCTAACTTCTCTGCCCCCCTCCTCCAGCAGGGGGGTCGGCGTGTTCGAGGAGTTCCTGGCATACGTAGGCGGGAGAGCCTGCTTAAGAAGGAGCCTTTGGCGTGCTGATCTTGAGTGGCGAGCCTGCGGCGTCCTGATTTCTGTGTGAAGCGGGCTGAGCACCAGAGCAAGAAGAAGCCTACAAGCTGCCTACCTGCGCTCCTGTCTGCCTGCCTCGGCATGTGTATTGATGCTTCCCCGAGTGAGGTGACCTGCTGACAGGCAGTGGGAGAAGTTCTGGATGCTGCTTGAGCCGTCTTTCCGCCACAGCAGCCGCATCGCTCCATCGCCAAGACAAACAGAGGAGCTCACGTCTTTCATCCGCTTTCTTCGCAGCGTCGCTGTCTGACCACCCTCCGAGAACATAATCATTCCGTGCTGCGAGTAGAATCTGCCAATGTGCGGCTGCTTTTGCCATCTCTGGTGAATCGCCATTTTTGAGACCCCGGCCACTGCGAGCAAAGACCAGGAAGGCCCCGGGAGAAGACCGGGAAGGCGTCGAGCA